AAGTCTTTTGCCTCGCGTGTATTTAGTGACTTGTCTGTAGGCCCTGTTTTTCCCAGTGAAAAGTGTGTTCTTGCAGATCTGACAGCAAAACGCTTCCTCCGAGACGTGTGGAACCGAAAGTAAAACTGTCCGGGTGGTTAGGCAGGCCTGCCTTCTCTGCCGCTGTGCAGGGGGGCTTCTTTCTCTGCACTGTAATTTCCTGTCTTGCTCTGTGTCTTATCTTTCAAAACTTGTGGCAGTTTATTTTGTTCTGACTGACCATTGTCTTTCGTTATGTTCCTCCCTTTACTTAAGAGAAACCTTAATTGTATTTCAATCCTTGAAGCTTCTAGTTCTCATGTGGTGTGATTTATAACGATGGAGTTCGTTGCTCTTTGATTTTTTTTCCAGCCAGGCAGAAGTGGGACATCTTGCCTATGTTCTTTATCTCCCTTATCTCTTTTATAACAGAGTAGCTGAATAAAGGAATGTTTATGTGATAATTTAATTTCCAGTAGCAGTAAAAAAGAATGTGAATAATCTCAATATGCTTGGTTTAATAACGCAGTATTTCTTCCCCCCATGCTTGTGTTTGCAAGGATTGAGATTATGCTTCATGGAACTGCAGTCTGTGGCAATAGGCTGTTTTTAGTGGTTTGCAAGGATTTAAGCGTATCAGGCCAAGGTGTTGATGTTCAGGCTTTTATTCTGAATGGTGATTAGATTAATGATGCTGAATACCTTTTATGAGTCTGATTCCCTTGAGAGTAAGCACATAGATGCTGTATTTTAAATGTTGCCTGTGTATTTCAAGACCTGTTTCTGAGCCTAGAGTATCATCAACACAATCTCATCACTTTTTCAAATTCTGAGATCAGTATGAAAAAAAAAAAAGTAGAAATTCAGGTACAATAAAAGATTTCTTAACCAAGATTGAGCTAAGGTAGGTCAAATAGTGAAAAACTAAGAAAAATAGTTTCTTCTGGAAAAATAGTGTTTGTAAGTGGTGAAACTGAGACGATGGAGTGTTAAAAGCATCTAAAGGTCACTATGGAAGTGAACTGACAAGTCCAAAAGCATATGGAATGCTTGTCTTGTATCTGTCTTGTCCATCCTCTCTAATTTTTAGCTGTGAGCACCAGTTCTTCCTATCTACTGGCTTATGGAGTTCATGTCATTATCTTGCCTTTTCATCAGCACAGTCACCTAAACGTTAGGTATTAAATAGAACTTCTCTTAATGTTTCCTTACTAGTCCCTTAATCTGGACCAAACTGTGTATCTTCAGCCTGACTTCCTATGGAAATGGGACCCAGGCAACCCTGCTGCCTGCCTGTTTCCATCTTTCTCTGCTTCCCGCAATTTTTGAACCTTTCAGCCATTTTCAGTCCAATTAGGTGTTAACTTGTAGCTGAGGAAAAGTAATGAGCTCTACACGGACATTCTTGCCGAGGGCAGGGCGATAGCATATGCGCAGTGGACAGTTCTGGTTTGTCTGTGCCTTGTGCTGGCCCCGGGAATCAGCCCGGGTATCGCTCGGAGGCAGCAGCCACGCTGGCTGCCTCCTGCCCTCGGTGGTCGGCAGGCATAAATGAGCTGGCAGCACGATCAGAGGGGTTTGTGAGATAAGGAGTTCCATACGTAGCAGGTAGAGAGGAGTATTGTGACGTCTGTTCTGTGATACACATCAGAAATCTTTGTAAACTGGATTGTTGGGGCCTTTTTTGGTCACCAGTGTTCATGGGGGGAAAAGTGGGTAATGCTGCCTTGTGGTCAAAATCACGACATACCCGATTATGCTCCACCTTTTTTTTTTTTTTTAATCCCATCTTCTCTATTTTGCTTTTATACAAGCAAATGTCAGATACACCTTTAAACAGAAATTGTGAGTTCTTAAATTTAATAAGAGTTTGAGAACTGTAATGATTTTTGGTAAGTGACCATGTTAAGTTACACCTGTATCTGGATATTTTGGTGTGTGGCTTTTGTTTGTGTTTTTTTGTTGTTTTTTGTGTGGGTTTTTTTCCAAATTGTTACTCAATTACCCTACTAACAGCAGTTGGGGGACAAAGATAAAAGCCGGACTACTGGAATTGTGTCATGCCTTTCCAGCATTTATTTAACCGAACAACCCTTTTTTCCAAATGTTTTCCTTTCAAATTTCCTAATTTATTATCTTTCAGAAACTAACACTTGTTTTTTTTAATGAATGTGTTACTCTATTTTTTTTGTTTAATTGACTTCCTGGTGAAAAACATTGTAATACAGTTACTGGAGAGTCTCATGCAATGTTCTAATGGACCTGATCTTACTAGGAAATGCTAAAAGCTTCCCTTTCAAACCCCTTTTGTTAAAAATGGTGGGAGAGAGAGTTTAGCTGTCTCAAACTGATGGAATGTCAATTTGTAGTGAGAAAAGATTAATAAACAGTTGTTGTTGAATTTGTAACAGAGCATGTAGAGGATTTGTATCTCCCAGATGAACTGTGAGGAACAGGTCCTGCTTAGCTGGCCTTCAGAGATGGAAAAATTAGCTCAGACCTGTAATAGGAAGGGGGGGGCTGCTTATTTGTTTGGGTTTTGTTGACACCCTCCCACCTCTACCTTGGTTAAGTTCTCATTTTATAACAATAGATGATGTAGATGAGTGTTTTTGAAATCCAAGTAGTTCTGAGATGTTGAGCTGTGAAACTGTTTAGTTGTAGACATGCATTAGGGAGCCAGATTTGCTAGTGCTTGTTTAAGCAATGCTGATTTGATTGGTCTCACTTCCATAAATCAGTGTCAGAAACATTTCCTCATTGGTGCTGTTGCCAGTTCCTGTCAAAGAGGCCAAGTCCTGAGCAGGTTCTCCATTGGGAAGTTGTCACTGTCCGTATATGAGTATGCTGTGAATTTTTGCAGACGATTTTTTCTTCAGGAGACCTGGACAAGCATCTTAAAAATTGTAACACAGCATTCCATGTGGGATAGTTGGTATATGAATTTGTCGTTTTATTGTTTGAGAGGTGGGGGAGGGAACGTGGAATACTTGGTTAGAAACGGAGATTTTCTTTAGTGTAATGTCTTTCAAAATAGTTTAATACTGGAAGCAGTCTACATTAGATTGGAATGTGAGTGTCTCATTATCCACTTTGTTGAGCAGATGCAGGAAATATGTGATTCTAGCGTATTTTCACCATCCAGTCTGAGTAAAATATTAGAAAGGCAAAAGTAAGGGTGGCAGTTGGGAACCAGCCTGGTCTTAGTGCTGAGAACTAAGTGATGGTTCTTTAGGCTGTATCACATGCAATCATGTCCCATCAGTCCTGCCTCTATATGCATTTAACTCGAAGCACATAAATATGTGAAAATTATTTTTTGTTTTAAGAAATTAATTTAGCCTGAAGTAAATGAGGCTTAGGTGGTTCCAACTGCCTCTTTCAGCCGGGTCTGGCCCTGTCTGATCCCGGACATGAGTCAGCAGAGTGCTCTCGCGTGAAGGGCAGCTGCATTCTAGACTGTAGTAGCAAGAGTTACCCAGCAGGTTGAGGATGGTGAGTCTTCCCCTCTGTTTGGTACTTACAAAACTACATCTGGACACCATATCCAGTTGTGGCTTCTCTGTTCCAAAAAGGGACTGACATGCTGGAGCAAGTCCATTGGAGGGCCACCAAGATCGTTAGGAGGCTGGGGGATGCGGTACGTGAAGAAAGACTGAGAGAACTGGGTTTCTTAATCTGTAAGAAGAGAGGGGGAAGTCTTATTATGGTCTACAGCAACCTGACAGAGAGGGTAGAGGAGGTGGAGCTGAGTTCCTCTTAAAGCTGTACAGGGATAGGATGAAAAGAAATGGACACGAGATGGGGCATAGCAAATTTCAGGATGGTATCAGGAAAAGCTTTTTCACAGTGTGGTTATTCAGGCACTGGAACAGGGGCCCAGAGGGGGCCCTTGCATCTCCATCCTTGGAGATACTCAGAACTTGGATAGCCAAGTCTGTGGTCTGACTGGACCTGCTTTGAGCAGGGGGTTGAACTGGGTGGCCTCCATAGTTTCCTTCTGATCTAAATTATTCTGTGATTCTACCCTTTCTTGTTCAATATATTTTATCTTCTGTGTCCTTAGCCAAATGAAACTAAAGCTTAGAGGACTAGAAAGCCCAGAGATGCTAAAGCTCCTACAAGTCCCCAGAAAAACATCGGTTGGGTAGGGACCAATACAAATTGGAGCCTTTGGTAACTCTTCTGCTGTTATTTCCGTTTGTTCTGCTAGCAGGGAAGTTTGTGCGTACGCCTTAGTCAGCACAGCATGCTCTTCCAGCTGGTACTTGTGCTGTAGGGAAGAGTGCCCGAGATAACTGGGGGAATCTTGGGAGGGGTGAGGAAAAAGGAGAGCAACGTGGCCCTTTTCACAATGGGGACAGTCAGGCTTTGGAGCAGGTTGGCCAGCAAGGTAGTGCAGTCTCTGTCCTTGGTGGTTTTCAGGACAGGAGCCTAGAGAAGTCTTGTCTGACCTCATAGCTGACCCTGTTGTCAGCAGGAGGTTGAACCCCTTGAGGTCTTGTCTAAACAGGATTATCCTATGTTGCAAGTAGAGGTAGCGGAAGGAAGAGTGTTCTTGGGAGACATGTAGAAGGGTCGGTGAGGCACAGGTGCGTGCTGATGAATCGAATATTTATTTATTTTTAAGTTGGGGGTACTTTGCTTTCATCAGTCTTGGATATATTTTCAGATGAACTTCTGTTTATGTTCCAAGATCTTCTATTCCTTGGGTTGTAGAAAGTTCCAAGTACTTTTACTGCACAATTCATGCTGGGGACAACTTTGCAGTGTAACGCTATAACAAAATGCCTGTTGTTAGGTCCGTTCCTTAGTTCAAGAGAACTTACCTTAGACCTGTATTTTATTCTGATCAGTTAGGCATTTGTGAGTTATCTTACTTAGTTAAGAACGAAGTGGGTAGGGGTGGGCTGTGAAAGTGACTAATCTGTCAACAACCAGTTAAAAGTACTTATTTTCCTGTGATTCTGCAGGCTTGCCTGGGTAACACAATGCCAGCTGAGCGCAAAAAGCCAGCAAATATGGAAGAGAAAGAATCTCCGTTAAATAATAAGGACAAAGAATTCAGCGAAAGGCGACCAGTAAGCACCAGGGAGAAGCCAAAAGAAGATGTCAAGGTTGGTGTGAAGAGAGAGACTTTAAAGGTTCCTGAAGATAAAAAGAAAAAACTGGAAGAGGATAAAAGAAAAAAGGAAGACAAGGAGCGGAAGAAAAAAGAAGAGGATAAAGTAAAGGCAGAAGAAGAGCAAAAGAAGAAAGAAGAAGAAGAAAAAAAGAAACTTGAAGAGGAGGAGAAAAAGAAACAAGAGGAGGAAGAGAAAAAGAAACAAGAAGAAGCAGCTGCTCAACTGAAGTAAGCTGTCTTTTAATGGTTTCATTGTGCCAAATGCTGTAGTCCTGCTGTCAGCATTGTGGGCAGAATGATAAAAGATGACCTGTTTGAGGTACTTGCTGTGAGTTGTGTGTAGTGTTACAAATTTTACATGGCTAGCTGAGTATGCTTTATGATTTCTACGTAATTTTGAGTTTTCCCCTCTAAACTCTATTGCTCTAATACGGGTCTTTGATAGTGTTTGCCATGTGATGACTGTATAATGCACAATTATGCTTCAATAAAGCAGCACAGTTTCTTTTAAGATGGAGAAGTGTTAGCGTCGTAAAATTTGGGATACAGGCTCAAACAGGTCCACAGACCAGAACAGGAGCAAATCTATTGTGAGGGATGGCTGTAATTTCTTTTAATCGATCAGAGACAATTGATACCTGGATGGCAAACACAGATTGTAACCTGGCAGTTCAAAACGTGATACTACCAAGACAGTATTTAGTATATTATCAAAAGTGTTGAAGATGACATCTTTAGACCAATAAAGCCAAAATTCCATACATTCTTGTGTTTGAAATATGTCACTTTCTAAGACTGAGGCAATGCCGTTGCCAAATTCTAGCTGGGACAGATGTATTTCACTTGTTTAAGACATTCTGTGTAATTTCAGTAGTCTGGAAGTAAAAGATTTCCCTTAATTGTGTAATACAGTAACCTGTTGAAAGGTTGTTGTCCTATTCTGTTTGAACTTCATCTGCATCTACAGTAAATGGAGTTCTATGTTTATATTTTCTAAATCTTTTGGGATTACTATGTTCTGCTTAGAAATATTTGAGAAATTTCATTTTGTAACAAGTAGTACTTGCCTTTTGCAGCAAAAAAAAATAAACAGAATTTACGAAGCAGATGCTCGAGCTTTCTAGGATTAACTTGTTTAAATACTTAAAAATAGAATGTTAAGGGGAAATAGTGTTTAGGCCTACTGGAGAGTTTCTGACTATGACTTTTTTTTTCCCTTTGCACTGTTAACCTGAAAATAAGGTTCTGTAATGAAAATGACTAGTTTTTATTTCTCTTAGAGAAAAAGAGGAAGCACATCAGCTCCATCAAGAGGCTTGGGAACGCCATCAGGCAAGGAAAGAGCTTCGCAGCAAAAACCAGAATGCACCAGACAATCGCCCTGAGGAAAACTTCTTCAGCAGACTGGATTCCAGTCTGAAGAAGAACACAGCTTTTGTGAAGAAGCTAAAAACCATTACAGAGCAACAAAGGGACTCCTTGTCCCATGACTTTAACAGCCTGAATTTAAGCAAATACATTGCAGAAGCTGTAGCTTCTATTGTGGAAGCCAAACTGAAAATATCCGATGTGAACTGCGCTGTGCACTTGTGTTCCCTCTTTCACCAGCGCTACGCTGATTTTGCTCCTTCATTACTTCAGGCTTGGAAAAAACATTTTGAGGCAAGGAAAGAAGAGAAAACTCCCAACATTACCAAGTTAAGAACTGATTTGCGTTTCATTGCAGAATTGACAATAGTTGGGATTTTCACTGACAAGGAAGGTCTGTCTTTAATCTATGAGCAGCTTAAAAATATTATTAACGCTGATCGAGAATCCCACACTCATGTTTCTGTGGTTATCAGCTTTTGTCGGCACTGTGGAGATGACATTGCTGGCTTGGTACCGAGGAAAGTAAAAACTGTTGCAGAGAAGTTTAACTTGAGCTTTCCTCCTAGTGAGATAATTAGCCCAGAGAAACAGCAGCCCTTCCAGAATTTGTTGAAGGAATACTTTACGTCTTTGACCAAACACCTGAAAAGGGACCACAGGGAGCTACAAAATATTGAAAGACAAAACAGGTGACACTTGAATGTTGTTTTTTTATTTATGGAGAAAAAAAATAGTTCATTTAAGAAATGCCTAGGTTTGTTGCGGTACTAGTAAACAAAGTAAGTGGTGTGTAAAAGATAAGTGTATTCTGCAATTTATCTAAAAAAAGTTCTAAATTTGCTCTGAGTACTTAAAAAAACAAATAGACTCTTCAAATATCTTTAAAGAAAATAGAGATTGTCCTTTAGCTTTAGTTCTCTTAGCTCTGTTAGTTTGGTGATGCTCCCTTAGCAGCTTGAGAGTAATGCTTCTTTCTCAGCTGGTACTGTGCTTTTCCAGTTGGCACAATCTGGTTTCTCCCTTTCCACCCACACGTATCTGATGGAGCATATGCCACAATAGCTTTGGCTTGTTTACTTTTTTTAGTGTACCAGTATGGAGGAAAAATTAGGATTAACAGTGTCCCTTACACTTTAATGTGGGCAAATTTTATGTATTAAAATGTTGGAGGGTATAGATAATTCGATTCAAATCCTCTTAAATGTCTCTGTGAAATACTAATATTGAAGCATACAAATATACACACCTTTGAGATCTGTACAATTTCATTTCTATCATGATCACATTGTTTAGTAATTGTTTGCTTTGCTTTAAAGCATCCTGAATTGTCATTATTTGGGACAGCCTAAACCCAACTGCTGCTTTTAAAACGTGGTCATTCTTAAATCCTTGTGGAAGCATTCTGGGCAGATACAAATGAACACGTTACTGTGTGTAGGCACAGGTTTCAGCAAAAAGGCTGAACATCAATCCAGAGCCAAATGTATGCTTGGAATGCATTAAAATTGGATGTTCTCAAACCAAGGCTTTAAACTTGGATCCGCTATGGTGATGAGTGGTGTGCCGCAGTCCTATCCGGTCTCGGTCAGCTCAGTGTTGTATTTCACAGGACCATAAACTGACTTTTCAGCTACTGTTGTTTCGACAAGTACCTTAGTACTTAAAGTGTGTTACTGATTTAGTTGTTATTTTTTAAAAGTTAACGAATATGAAGTTTTATACTTTCACAACTGTAATTGGTTCTAGGCTCATTCGTTCTGGCTGGGATTTCAATGAGTGAGTGTTACAAAATCTATATGACAGGAAATAAAGTGAAAAAAGTTTCCAGGGGATATAAAGAATGTTAAGAAACCGTAAAGAAAGAAAGAACATAAGTGATCTAGGAGTGGGAAATATACTTTAAAGTTTACTTGCACAGCTGCACAAAAATGACTGGCTAGAGCCCTGAGCAGCCTGGCCTGTTCTCATCATTGAGCCTGCTTTGAGCAGATGAGATAGAGACCCCTTTATGCACCGTATCATATGAATTATCCCTATGAACTTTGGTACAAAGCTTTGTTTGGGGAGGAACTATCGTTTATGACTGGATTAAGATAATTCTATTATTAGTCTCTATCTGAACTTTAAGGTGTTTATTTTAACTGCTTAACAAGAGTTGGGGAATAAGTTTTGTTAAAAAACAAGACATTAAAAAATCTTTCCTGCCTAATTTTGTTTGCTCACAACCTGTCTGTAACAAAGAGAGCCGCTTGGCTTTTGCATGCTGTAGAAGGGCAAGGCATGAGGTCAAAAGACAGAAACTTGCCTAGTAAGAAGTCTGTGAATAGTATAGAAATCTTCCTAAATGGTGGATTTTGGGAAAGTGATTGTGTCGTTGGTTGCTTGCTTGCTTTTTGGGGGGAGTTTTTTGTTTGTTTGGTGTTTTCTTGTTTTTTTTAAAAAAACAATAATCCTACTGGAAAAAGTCCTCTGTGTATCTGAAGCCTGATCCGCTTTGCTGACAGCACCAGCCTTTTTCCCACTGTTATTCCAGAACCAGTGAAGTGAACAGGGAGCAAACTGTTCCCTCTTGTGCATCAACCATGTCATATCTTTAGGTTACGATGTTTTGTCATGTAAATACCTCTTGAATTTATCTGTGTCAGGAGAGTGACTGTGAAATAATTCAGGCTGTACAGATTCATTGAGTTAATTGAAAATTAATATGCTGACCTTAACAGTGCTTTCCTATTGTGTTACCTGCTGAATCATTTCAGAAAAATTAAAGCATTATTAGACACGAGGGTTTCTGCAGGTGGATAATTAGGAAAACTACCTCGAGTTATGCTTTGACAGTAGAACTGATGATTGTTTGGTTACAGAGCTAAGGGCACAGCAGTATCTGTGCAGGCTGTGTCATTGGAAGGAAATAACTTGATTCCCAAATTCTAGTGCGAGTTCTCAAAAATGAGTGTTAGATATGGAAGAAACTTTTGTCTAAAGTAAGCATGTTTTTTAAGATCTGCTGAACTTGTGTTGTGGCACTTCATGGAATTCTGAGGAGACATAAAGGGAAATGACTACTGTATGCTGTACTTTTAATTTTATTAAAAAACAAATAGTGCTTTTTAAAGTTTGCTTGGTATGCTTTAGCTTGCTTGAGTTTATTAACACTTGTCTTTTGGGAACTGAAACTGAGAGCTGAAACTTTTGTACTGTTGTTACAGCACTTTGCCCTTTTGTTTGTTTGTTTTTTTAATAATAGCACAGACCATCAGTGCTGATGTTTATGAGGTTGTTGGTATGTTTTAAACTTAAAATATGTACCTAATGGTTAGCTGTCTCCATGGAAAGGCTACGAATTGGCATCTAACTTGCTTCCTGAATCCAAACTGAACTACTGCACTTCAGAAATTGTCAGTGGTTATTCAGTTCGTAAACTTTTCTTGCTCTGCTTTGCTGGAGCAGGTAATACATGTTACATAGGTTTGAGTTTGTATGAGGGGCGAGAAATAGAACTTTTGCTGGTGTAACTGCTTCATGCCCTCTAGCAAGACATCTATGTCAGGTTTTGGTTCTGAGCAGATATAAGGGATTTTGTTGCTCATGCTGTGAATGTGTTGTGTACAAAGATGACTTCTGTTTTACAGTTAACCTGGAACTGAGGAAAGCACTTACACTGCTTAAACTGCTTTAGAATTTTTATGCCATAAAAATTCAGGGTCTTTTGGCAAGAGTGTTATTGTATACTTACTGCTTAATAAAAACCTAATGATAATGTAATGATACCACATGCTTTAGAAGTTACAGCATTTGCCACCTTATTTCAGACTTTGTCTTCTGACACTGTCATCTCAGTGCGGGTTGTGTTGTCAGTGGTTACAGCGAGTTAGTCCAGTGTCACTGGCGTTATTCAAAACCAAACTGGAAATCTGCTAGGCAAGCTCATTCTGTCAGCTTCCCTTTGAGAGGCATACGTTTGATCTGAGCCCACTTGTATCTTTGCTGTAGCAGGCCCCCGAACAGCTCAGTTGGCCCAAAGTGTCCCTTGGTGGTAAAGAACTGACTGTGCCTCATCCGTATAAGAACTGTTCATGCAGAGTGGTTTATCCACCGATGGGAAGATGGTGCTTCTCAGGAGCTCTAGTTGAGGACAAAGTAGAACATTGCTAATGAGCAACCAGCTTATTCTTAATTAACCCAAAATCAAGGATAACAGTCTTTCATCAGTCTTCTGTGGCAAGCCGTGGGCTAGCAGAAGTTACCTTGTTCTGTACATTTGGTTCGAAGTAGTGAAAGTTCTTAGTATTTTTTTGTCTGACATCCAAGATGGCCTTAAGTGTAGTTTGGTAAGAGAATTGAGCTGTATTGTTCTGCATGTAATCCTGAAACTGCTTTATTATGCACTTGTAAGCAGGGATTACGTTCCAAATGCAAGTTGCTTTTGACAACGTATTTCAATTTTAAAAATGAGATTTTAAAATAAGTATGGATAGTTTCATAAAAGAAAACAAAGAGCAAGTGAAAAAGCAAGCGTAACTGCTTAATTTGCAGTGATAGCCTTGAAATAACTGCGTTCATTGGAAAATTAATGGGCTGGTTTTAACGTACAGGGGTTTTTTGAGTCTTCTGGCAATGATTGCCCATTTATCATTTGAAAATCATGGAAATGTATTGTTACAGATGCAAAGTAACTTTTAACCAGCTTTCATGTAAGCTGAATGTTTTAATTTACTGCAGAATTCTTTTCATAGTGCAGGACTGTTACAGGGTAATCATGGCAAAAACATAAGTTAGCCTTTCTCTTTGGACACTGAAGTTAGAGCTTCTGTGGACTGTACTATCATCAGTGATATTGAAGTCAGTAATTCAGTATGGTTGGCTTGGAAATAAAAAAGTGGTGCTCAAATTTTGCTATTGTGGTCTAAACTAGAGTTCTCACAGCTCCCTCAAACAAGAAAGGTTAGCTTTGCTCAGCGAAATTGGTAGTGGTTCAGCATAGCTCAAATGCATTATAAGAAAAAAGGTTGTCTTACTGTAACTTTGATTTTTGTAGGCGCATTCTTCACTCCAAAGGAGAGCTGAGTGAAGATCGACACAAGCAATATGAGGAATTTGCAATGTCCTATCAGAAGCTGTTGGCAAATTCTCAATCCCTAGCTGATCTTTTGGATGAAAATATGCCTGACCTTCCCCAAGAGAAACCAACACCTGAGGGTAGGCCATCTTCCAAAGCGAGTAAATGGACTTGGCTTGCATGTCATGGGAAGACTGACCAAGCCCCCTTACCGGTGTCTTTTCTCCATTGTTTTTTTTTTTGTTTAGACTTTCCCTCTTAAGGATATCAACAAATGAATAATACTTTTTAATTAAAGTAGTTAAACCTAACGTGTAACCATAACTATTACATGTGCTGTGTAAGTACCTTAGTACGATATCTTTAGATTTGTTTCAGGTAATATAGGAATAAATAGGAAATTTAAAATGTTTCTAACCTAATCCTTTCCATTTAATATATTGCCCTTTTTAATACTTAAAGAACTGTATGTGTTAGTTTTAAAATCTGATGTTGTTCAAAAATGGGTTTGAGGTATATTTTGGGTCATGATGTTACAAGCAGGAACATACCGTTAAGCCACATAAGTCACTAGATGGTTCTCTGACCTCCTGAGAAGCACAGCAGTTAACTGGCAGAGCTATTCAATGCCTTAATGAATCTCAAATTTTAGTTTTAGAGATGTTGTTGAAATCACGAGTGTACTTTTTGTCTGAAATGATCTTGAGCTTAAAAAAAGCTGTATTTCTTGAATTGCTCCAATTTAGAATTATTCTTTTTATGCATCTGTTCTTAGAATGCCATGGGTACAGTTTATCATACTCAGTGGTTACTTTTTATGCTAATGTGGTTAAAGTGTGTTATAGCTTTCATTTCTAATACCGCATAATGTGCTGCTTGATTTTACTTGTCACTCTGATACTGTCTGTTTTCTGTCAGTGTCAAATTTAAGATTACTTATTGATATGTCTAATATTAAGATTGGGTTGCTAAAAGCACTTTAAAGTATACATTGCAACATTTAGGTGAAAAGAGTTGTAGTAATGGTTGACGTGTTTCGAAAAGTATTTTTTTAATCTGTAAAGGTGCCTCCCTTTCAAAGATCAGAAACTTGTATAAATAACTTTCTTATGGTTTCACTGTTTTTGCAGAACATGGACCTGGTATTGATATTTTCACACCAGGAAAGCCTGGAGAGTATGACCTGGAGGGGGGTATCTGGGAAGACGAAGATGCTAGAAACTTCTATGAGAATCTCATTGACTTAAAGGCTTTTGTGCCAGCAATTTTGTTTAAAGATAATGAAAAATGTTCCCAGAACAAGGATTCCAGCAAAGATGAATCAAGAGGTAGAATGCTTAGATGAGTATTTTTTTAACATACCTTGTCCAACAGATACGCAAATTTGATGGAAGTAATGAGTCTCTAATGAAATAATTTGTGGTGATCAGGACAGTATTGAATTTTTAGGGAGGAAGGTGTGTGTGATAGGGGTTGTATCTGGGTGTGGTATTTAAGGAAGGTAAAAAAATGCGTTTTAATATTGCTAGAATTTTAAATTAAATGATTGGAGAGTAGCCAATGTGAGCAAATACTAACTTTTCTCTGAGAAACCTAAAGTTTACTTTCTTTGAACGAGGTTAGTGTTCATTTTGGGTTTTGCACTAAATTGTTACTGGTAGCGAACTGTCTCAGTATAAAATTGCAGTAGGTTAAAAGGCCTGGTTGGTTCCTCACTTCTGATGCAGCCCTAGGTTCACAACCAGGCATTGGTAGACTTCAGTTATAATGGGATAAAAAGGACATTCACCATCACTGGCCTAAAGCGTAAGAGAAGATGTGTGCTTGGATAAAAGCAGCATTTTGGCATTGAGGAAATGCCAAGACAGTCACAGGCTACATGATTTTCTAATACACATGTAGCAGGTCAGTGTTGAGTATTAATGGAATTTCAACTTTATAGCTTATGGCCTTATTTCTGATTTCTAAAGTCTGAAATTTCTCTGTGAGGATAGTTAGTTGTTGGAGCACCTTGCCCAGGGAGACTGGAATCTCTGTCTTAAGAGATTTTTCTCAAGACAGCTGCAAAAAATCCCTGAGAAATTTGGTGTGAATACAGTGCTCATTCACTTTGAGCAGAAGGTTAAACTAGAGACCTCACCAAGTTCCCTTCCAGACTAATTTTGTCTGTGATTCTGAATAGGTTGTCTGCTTTGACTTGTGCACTGTTTAGAAGTTGTTACATTTTTGTTTGAAAAATTTAAGTATTTTAATAAGGTTATTTGCCTTGAAGCTTATTTTTTCATGAAGCATAGTCTGCAAATGAGGCTTGAAGGAGGCCTGAAAGAATAGTGAAGTGTTGTAATCTCTTGGAAAAATGCTCTGTGCCGGACCAGTGTTGTTGTCCAAGAAAAATATTAGCTATTCCTTTCTGAATCTTCATCTAGAGAATCATAGATGATTTGTTTTCAAGGAAAATGTGATTTTTATTTGACCTTCTACATAGCACATTATTTCTTCAGTATTTTCCTCCTGTTTTGCTTTTTGCCTTTTTTTTTTTTCTTGGTCTGTGTAAAACCCTTTCTGTTTACCTTGTTTTGTCAATTTTGTTATCAGTTGAGTTACAAAGAATATGCAGTGCACATGTTAAATTAGACTCTATATCTTTGAATCTGACTCTCTGAATAATGTTTGTAATACTCATTTACTGGGGTTTGGAGGATAACGTTTTTCTGTCTGACCTTGCCAGTATGAAAGTTTGGTTTTGTCTTTTTTTTTTGCTTGCACTTTCCATGTGATGACCTGGCAATCCATTTCAAGCACTTTAGGACTTAGATTCTTACATTTCTGAATATCTTACTCGATTTGAATGTATGCATGTCATCCTGTGAAGGCGTACCAGGTGTAGTTCAGAACAAACTAAAGCACTAAAAACTGTCATCCATCCTTAATAGACCCCAATGTAGGTAAATGTTTGCAGTTTTCAGACGTATGGGTAAAGCTATCTGAAGGATATCAAACCACTGACACCTAACAGTGAGACAGCGTAGTTTTAAGAGGTAGATATTCTTTGCCCTATTTCCTTTTAACAAGACTAAGACACTAAAGAGATGTTGGTTTAGGAACATAAGTCTTCCTGTATTCTAATCATGACTGCAAGTACTTAATAATTACTATTTCTACTTAACATTCAAATAGATTCAAAAGATGCCAAAGATAATAAGGAAGCACCTGGGAGTGAGGATTTGGAGTTGGAGCTGGAGAACCTGGATATTAATGATGATACCCTGGAGTTAGACTGTGGAGATGAGGCAGAAGATCTTACAAAAAAGCTTCTTGATGAGCAAGGTAAAAAGAATTGGTTTTAGGGATTCCTTGTTTCCTGATTGTTTTTTTTTGAGCTTGATGGTCAGTAGATAGAGTGACTTCAGGGAGAACTATTATTTATTTATTTATGAAATGAGTAGCTAGAAACTGTTAGGATTGTGGTCAAAAACGTATTTGTAACAGGACATTCAGATACAAATAAGTATTATATGGAGGTTTACGTAGTGAAAGTTACTGATTCCTTCATATAGCTTTTAAGAATACTCAACTGTAAAGGCAGTTGTCTGAAAAGTGGCTAGAAAGAAGTATGTCTACTTCAGTACGTAAATTATTTTCTCATCAAATGTGCTTAAAGTAGTAAAAATATTTTCTGTTTTTAACTTCTTGAAATCTAAGATTCAGTTCTGCCTTTCTATCTTTTTAATTGTTAAAGACTTATTTTGATGTTATGGCTTTACATATGAGGATTTAAGAATTCTGACCTGTACTTATGCATAAAGGGCTGCAAATAGCACATGTGAAAGTCTAGCTGTTAGTTTTACTAGGGGAAGAAGCAGCAAAATGTTTCTTAATAATTCTTCTAAGAATTACAAGTTCTTCTTTCAGTGGTACTGAATAGTGGGAAAAGCACCATCAGGTGTTAAGAGCCAAATTCATAGAAGAGCAAGTGAGGTGTTTTCTCCGAGCCCAGTTTGCAAGACACATCGGTTTTGCTGTTTGGATTTCCAAGGACAAATGCAGATTCTTTTCTTTCATTTCTGAAGCAGGAAACTTGTTCTGTGGGTAGAATGTGGAGAAAAAAAAAAAAATCACATCTAGAGTCCACAGGCTGGAGATTCTGTGGCTTAAAAGTGAAAATCTTACCTGATCTAGTGGATTTCTAATCTACTCATCCTCTTGCTTGAAACTGCATTGGGCTTTAAAAGCTAAGAAATTAAAGCCAAAACTTCAAGCCTTGGAGTTCACATCAAAGCAAAGAAGTTCAGGCCCTGGCAAAGGCTGTGTATTGGTGTCTAAAGCGAGGGTTCATCTAACCAAGCTGGTGCGGGGATCTGTGGGTTTGGTGCTGAGTAGCTCAAACAGCTCCTCAGCGTGCTGGTCTCTCGGCTGACGATAAGGATGGGTTAGGGCATATGGATCTTTAAACTGGATGACTCTCTTGTGTACCTAAAGTTAGTTGAGCTGAAATTAATCTTGGGACTATGCTGTTCTGTGACACCTGACAAATTCAAAGAAATTAGACCGCTCCAGAGCAGAGTGTTTCAGACTCCTTCTGAAAGGAAAACTGTCAGAATAAGTAATTCTGTATAATACTTCCTTAGATTTTTCCTTTGTTTACCCAGGCAGGTTGGAAAAAGCCATACCCTCTTTGGAATAAATTTTCCCTTCCATTTATGTTCTTCTCTGGGTAGTCATCAGCTCATTAAGATGTTACATTTTAATTGCAGGATGTTCATCTTCAATAAATCGTTATCTTCTGGTCAGAGATCTGAAACAAAACCGTAAAGAGCCTGGTTCTGGCTGTCTGTGAGGGGGGAACACAGAGATGTTCTCTTGAAATCATAGAATCATAGAACACCGGGTTGGAAGGGACCTCAAGGACCATCTGGTCCAGCCTTTCTTGGCAGATGCACAGTCTGGACAGGATGGCCCAGCACCCTGTCCAGCTGAGTCTTAACAGTGTCCAATGTTGGGGAATCCACCACTTCCTGGGGAGGTTATTCCAATGGCTCATGGTTCTCATAGTGAAAAGTTTCCCTCATGTCCAATTGGAATCTCCCCAGGAGTAACTTGTACCCGTTACCCCTTGTCTTTTTCCATGTGACTGTAAAAGGGAGTTTCCATCTTCTGTGTATCCACCCTTTAAATCCTGACACGTGGTAATAAGGTCTCACCTGAGCCTTCTTTTCTCAAGGCTGAACAAACCCAGTTCTCTCAGCCTTTCCTCATATGGCAGGCCTCCCAGACCTTTGACCATCTCCATGGCCCTTTGTTGGAATTAAAAGAGAAAAGAGTAGTTCATCCTGGATTGATTGGTCATAGCCTGCTAGATAGGCCAAAAATACTTTGTTAGTAGACATCTAAAGGAACGTGGATGTTTCCTCCTTCTTTTGGAAGGTATTCTTGACTTGACAGGGGGACGAAGATTATTCCAAATATAAAGACAAAGTCAAATAACATGAGTGAGATCCTGTGGAAGAGGAAGGTATGACAGGAGATGAGATCAGAAATAGAAGGTGCAGTCTCTGTACAGTGCTAGCCTACTGGGGGACAATGCCAGTTTGAGTATGTACAGTAGCACAGAAGGGATCGGTGATCATGCTTTTGGTTATAAAAGGAGGGTGATGCGTGTTTTGTCATAATACAAAATATTAACCATCAACACTAGTTTCTGTTCGTAAACTAGACATTGAGCATTAAACAGACTTCCATCTGAAAGGTTAATCTAAAATGTGTTAGAATGGGGTTTATTTTTTATCATTGCTTCATGATTGTCTTTTGCTCATTAGTTTAGTTTATTTTTTTGTGAAACGTAGAAACTTAGTGTCTTTGAATTCTATACCTTTTGTCAAATTTCTTTGTTACTGACAAGTAACTTCATAAATTAATGATGGAAATTAACATAGACATGATGGCCACATCCTTGTTCTGCTAGAAAAGTAGGCTCTAAAATAGCAGCATGTAAGTGTTACTTGAAACATACAGAGAAACAAAGTGGTTTTTTGGTGGGTGTCTGTGTAATTCTGAATGCTCCTAGTTGGTATCACCAGATACTAACAAAATTCTGAATTTAGGTGTTTAAGTTCTGTGATGTATTTCCATCTAGTGAACTGGTAGATTTTTCAGCCTTTCTCTTAAGTAAAATTCACTTAGTTTGAAATTACAAAAACTAGGTTACTTTAGCTGCAAAATACAGCTTTAATTTTTCTTCATATGTACTGGATTTTTGTGCCTCTAATTGAGGTAAATTAGTAGTTTTGTGTAGTAGTACGTTAGTAGTTTTGTGTAGTGGTTGTGCATGTTTTGTACAAAGCCAGCAAAGAATGAAACCACTATATTATGACACTACTACAAACATAAACCAGAGTATTCCTAGGTTGGGATGGGCCTTTGGTATAAAAAGGGAGGATGCATGAGGTATAGCAGAGTCTTAGATCATAAAATAGTTTGGGTTGGAAGGGACCTTTAAAGCTCATCTAGTCCACGCACCCCCTCCCCCCCGCAACGAGCAGGGACGTCCTGAACTAGATCAGGTTGCTCAGAGCCCTGTCCAGCCTGATGTAAGCTCCGAGATGAAGAAAAGTAGCTTTAGTTATAGTGGTAATCTGGGGGTGTGGATTTAATTGGCAGAGGAAATAAGTAAACTATAGAGGGGAAAACAGGATAAATAGGGTAGACAGTCCAGTCGAGCAGTGGGTGCTGCATACCTTTTGTTACTTCTGCATCTCCTCCTGTCACTTCTCTTCAGTCTTTTCTCCCCTGTGCGAATATGAGGGAGATGAGGCAGTTTCCCAAAGTATGTGGTTTTTAAAGCATGTCTGCCCTGGTGTAGCATCCTTTACAGCATTGCAGTGCCTGTTTCTGCACTTTAGGAAAAAAGTCTGGAGTCCGTAGTCAGCTGAGTTTGATACGACATGTAAAAGGAAAGTTGATGCAATTAGTTGAAAAGGTTTGTTTAGCAGGACTTCAGCTAATTTATTTTGCTTCTCTGTTGTGTTAACTTTGAGTGAATCTTAATTTTCTTATTTTCAATATGCTCAGGGAAGAGAAAGGGAGCAGGTAGCACCGGGGCTGAAAATAGTGATGGAGAACATGCTGAAAGACGTGAGTTTTGAAACTGTTTTTAAAAGAGTAGATAAAGTATTAAAAATGAAGTTGTGTGAATGGAGATAAAAATGTGAAAGGATCAGCCAGAGTGGAAGCCATCAAGGGTACTGGGAGCAGGAGGGGTCTGATATTAATGTATGTCTAGTGCCAGGTTTTGTAAGATTGGTGAGCATCAGAGGTGATGTGTAGAAGTGAGTATTAAGTCAACATTGTTAACTGCTGCACTGTTTAGAGAGCTGGCAAAGTTACAACTAGAAGAGCAGGAAATTAAAAAGAAAAGAAATAATTTTGGGGCTTGTGGGACTAGGTGCTGCACACGTTCCTCAGTGAGGCTTTGATTCAACAAGGCGTTTAACATTACAGTTATGCCTAAGTTGTGCAGAGAGGGGGATCCAGCCAACAGTTTGGTCACAGTATGGGTTCGTACCGTCTGAATGTGAGGGCTCCCGCATGATCGACTTCATTACAGAAACTGATCTCACAGAGGAAGAGCTGCTAGCGTTACAAAAGCGCTTCTGTTACTTCCACTGTCTGGGTGATGCTATACAAAGTAGACTGAAGCTTTCAGGCAGAGCAGAGTTTCCGGGAGAGAGCCCTCTGTAAGGTTATAATTTGGTAAAAATTAAAAAAGTTGACAATAAGGGAGCCAGGGCTTTCCCAGAAAGTGCGTGTGTAGGGAGAGGGGGAAGCAAATAACTGTCATTGCTGAAGCAAAAGGTTGTTTGGCACCAATTATTGCAGGAGACGGACTTCAGTAATCCTTCGTGTCTTCTGATGTTGCCTCAGATCTGCGCCCTGAAAATTGCAGGATCGGCTGCATTTTTGGTTAAATGTAAAGGTGTTTAAACAGAAAAAAGATATTTTTCTTTCAGTCTCTGTAATGTTAATACTACATGATCTGATCTGCACCCAGACAGGCTATTACAAATAGTCTAACTGTAACTGTCATACATTACTACTTGCAGTAAATTTTTAAAATGTGGTGATGGTGAAAGACTGGAACTCGAGAGGATCAAAGTGAAAAGCAAGAAATGAACTCGGTTTTGGCATGAATTGCATGCTTAGAATTATTGTTTGCCTTGGAGAAGGAAGCCCTGACTGTTTAATTTCCTGTCACTGTAAAATTCTTCATTTTCTGTCCTAAGTCCCAAACCTCCTTCAGGTACTACAAAAGAGCCTTTCCAGTTAGAAAAGATGAACGTACTGTGATGAGAAAGAAATACCTAGACATACGATGTGAGAATATCTGTAGACGACCAGTGAAAGAGGGGATATATTTGGGAACTGTTGAAATTGAATGCGATAGCAGGGGCTCTTGAAAGATTGTCTTAAAGTGACTGAATTGTCAAAGACTTAATTATTTTAATTTATTTCAAGAGCGTTGAGTCAGTTTGAGCAGAAGACTGAGGTGAGACAACTAATTGCTGTAAGGGAAAAAGGAGAAGATAAAAACTTTAGAAGGAGACGGGAAAGTATGGCTGGAAATATCTAAATGGAAAAGTGCATTAAAAGAAGATTTGCTAGTAAAAATTGTCTGGTTTTGAGCTATTGCATTCGTCCTAATGAACTCTAACTCTGAGTCTATGGGTGATGAGAGAGTCAGGATTCCATTAAATTTTTAAAACTTCATGGTCCTCTTCTGTCTGAGCATCTGGAACACCTTCCTTTTCTTCTTTCTCCTTTCTTAATGAACCCTTCTCTCTCGTTCTTCTGACTTCTGGTTGCTGGTGCAAGAGAAGAGGCAATGTCGTTGTCTTTAATCTCTAGCACCTTCAAGACTGGGTAGCTGGCAGTGTTCCTTGGAGCAATTCTTAGTGTTTCTGTACCAAAGCTGAACCCCTGCCCCTAGCAGTTTCCAAAAACAAGGAAGAAGAGTCCTATAATGTAGCATCTTTGTTATCTCTTTGCCTTTCAGTGACTTGAAAAAGGAACTTGAGTGTTCCATGCTGGTTTATCTTGCCGTGCAGCCTGTAAAGACAGTGACTTTACCAGGTGTTGAGTATTTTGTAGTTTACTTGGGTGTGATTTCTACCACCACCATATTGTCTTCTTTGAAGTCTGCCTCTGTTTTACTTTCAATACCTCCTAGGTATTCTTGTTAGTGCTGAACGTCCTTAAACTGAATGAAAACCAAGCTTCATCATGTTCCTTTTTCAGGAAGCAGGTTCTTTTGTATTGCTTTGGCCAAGGAGGGGTTCTTTCCAAATGTTTGTGTGATAACTCATTGTTTTGGCTTGTGTTGTGCTATAGAGCAAACTAAACTCTTCTCTAGGGCTTAGTAAAATCTGGAAATTTTTTTGAAGCATACTACAAGTTTTGTAATTAGGGGGTAACTATAGGGGGATTGGTGTGGTGAGATCTTCGTAGCTGATGTCAGAAAGTCTGAATTCCAGTGGTAAAGTTGTCCTGCAGTCTTCCACTTGAGTAGTGTTGTTGACTCACGTCACTGTCGCTGCTTCCTGTGTTGCAAATTACACAGAATCATTTGCTTCAAAAACGAGCTGTCACTTGCCTTGCAATTGCTACGTGATCAGCCCTCCATCCTTGTCACCTCATGGTTCTGTACTGTGGTTTCTGTGCAGCTGAAGGAATTAAGTTGACCTCTGGCTTTTACAGCCTCAAGTGAAAAGATGTCAAGAACATACTGGATGAAAGAATGGCCTTAATGGACATTTTTGATCAAAAATTCTATTTCTTAGGCAAACACATTAAAAAAAAGTAGAATCCACAATTATGTGTTGGGTTTTTTTCCCCCCATATTATTCTCACCCATGTTTCGGCCTTCTTGTGGTTTTCTTTTTATCACCTAAAGGAATTGCCACAGTTTACTTAGGAACATATTTGTTGCTGCTCCTGACAGTATAACTTAGGAGGTGGGGAACTTCACGACTAGGAAGTAAAGTTTTAAAGGTGATACTTTCAACTTTTGTCAGCATAGACAAACGATGGATTTATTTTTGCATTTTAGAAAGTGGAGTTTTGTATTCATCTTTATATCTTACTCATCCACAGATTCAGAAAAATATTTGACACCTAAACATTACAAGTGCACTGTGTTTGGGGAATGTGATCATTAATAATTATGTTTCATAGCTTAAAGATGTGTGTTGCTTGTTTATTTCACTCTGTTAGAACAAGAGGATGAAGAAGCCAGTACGGGATCTCATTTAAAACTTATAGTAGATGCTTTTCTTCAGCAGCTTCCAAACTGTGTCAACAGAGACCTCATAGACAAGGTATAGTCATAGTTTTCATTTTTTCCACTCTTAAAAACGATAATGCTAGATGAAATAGATCAGAAATAAAGATTTGAAGCTTTGGAGTCCAGTAGTAGCTGAATTAATTTTTAACCTGGAGGAAATATTTCCTTTTTTTCACTTAGCCATTGCTAAAATACCGTGTGATATTGGTTTCATCTGCCTGTTTTCTTATGTGTTAGTCTGTTTAAAGTAGACTTGTTTTTTCCTTTTATCCTCCCATCACTCCCTAACAAATTACTCCCCATCTACCTAAAGCTGTTTTCTTCTTCTGGTGATCCAAAGAGTCAGTCTGTATTCCTGTAACTGGACTTGTTTTCGAACTATGTCCGTTCTGGACAAAAAATGAAGATTTTTCTTTATGGTTGTTCTTAAAGCAGCTGAATGTAAAAGGAATAGCTCTGCAAAAGATGCTTTTGAAACGCGTGCTATATTACTTTAAATAAAAAACCGCTGCATTAAAGATGTTGTGTTGACTTTTCTCTTTATAGGCAGCAATGGATTTTTGCATGAATATGAATACAAAAGCCAACAGAAGAAAACTAGTACGGGCACTCTTCATAGTTCCTAGACAAAGGTAGGAACTGAAGGTGAACAAGCTGGGTCCACCCTTTGTGGATCCTAACTTCACAAATGTATATATTTTTTAAGTGTTTTAAGTTACCGAAAACCAGGGCATATTCCAAGTTGCATTTATTTATTCTTGATGTACACTTCTGGAGTGATTTGTGCTAGAGCACCAAAGAAATATTTAGGATTAACGATCAAGCAATTTGCCACAATATTTTGCCATAGCAGTGTAAATTTCTTTTTAATAATTAATTTATCTTTTCTGGGACTTGTGTGTTTGTAGTCGATCTTCTCATGACTTTTTTTTTTTTAAACCATGAAAACAGCAGCAAAACCTACCTTCTATCAAAAAAGGAGGATATATTTCATTCAGGAGAATGTGTGCTTTCTTAATATAAGAACCCTTGAGTAGTTAGAGCACAATGTAGTTTGAGGAGGAGGATTTCTTATGATATGTTGATTCTGATACAATATATAGCCATTATAATAGCCTTGTATCTTCTGGAACAGAGCTGGTTCTAGGCTGAGTTTGGAGAAAGGAAATAGAACAGTTTTGAGCCTGGCCTCTTCTGTCCATGTAGATCTGTCCACGTAGAGTTTTGCTATATCTTCTTCCTCTCTTTGCGTAAGCAAGGTCGCTGCACTTACAGGAAGCGCCTTGCTTAAAAAATGAAGGCAAATACTAAAAAAAAAAAAAAGTTAACTTCATTGGAAGAATAATAATAAATCTCTCTGGTAAACTTATACTTTAAATAGGTGCAATTATGAAGGAGTCGCTATGTTTGCTCCACCTTGCCCTGTTTCACCTGAGAGATTGTTTTGCTGCTGCTTTTAGTTTCAAACATTTCTTCATCATCTTGGCTTTCCTGTTAGAGTTCACACCACTTTGATTCTGTTCCCTTTTAACACTGGGGAAAAAACATGATTTGAGTATCTGTTTTGTGTCGACTGCTGCTTTGAATAAACAGACTTCGGTGTTTTGTTTTCCTTAGTTCTTGCCCTGTGTTTTCAGCCTTAATTCTAGCCCATTTCTACATCCCGTCTGTAATACGCATTTGCTGTGCTAATAACCTTACTCTCAGCTGTGTATAAACCAGTGGTTTGTTTGCTGACTGTGTGTTAACCTGATTCTATGTTGATAATAGTTTCTGTAATTAGAAGTGCACGTCGTATCTCGTTCTCTTATGTATTCTCTGCCCTAAAAATTATGGGTTTGACACCTCAGTCTTTGGAGACTTTGATAGAGGCCTGATCGTGCCTGAAATACAAGTTACTGAAAGAGGAGGCAGGCAGTTGAGTATTTTCTGTGTTAGATATAACAAGATGTTCTTCAGCCCAAATCTGTGGTGTAGAGGAATAACGTTTCTATTTATCAGCCTGCTGGTAATCATGAAATGCATCAGAACACCATTTGAGAAGAACTCTTTTTCATGGCCTGGAACATCTACAGCAATGTAAATCAGCAGGATGACTTAAGCTTTGTCTTCAGCTCTACGATAACAGAGAATTTTCCATGTTTGCAAAATAGAAGTGGCTTGTTGGCTGGTCTGTGAACACACAGTAATGTTGGTACCACTGCCCTGTGTTTCTTCCTGGTGCTGTAGACTCCAGATTGCTCAAATTGATCATTAACTCTTGGAACCTCTTTGAAGATGCGTGATTTTCTTTGCATAGTTCTATGAAGTGAGTAATGACCTGAAGGAACTTGTTGAGATTGTGCACAGCAAACTTTTCAAACTTTCAAACAAGAACGACATGATGGGTTGTAAATTGAGCCGTGTGGTTTCATAGGTACCGTGAAAACAGAATTTAAATTCCTAGAGCATTGTAGTATTAAAAAAAACACGTGTCTTTGATCAGGCTGTACTAGGAACACAGTAAATTGCTAGAAATGTGTATAGCATTTACATTGCCACTGGTGTGTTGTCTTCCCAATGGTAGTCCCATTATCCCACATCTGCTTTAAAAATAATAATAATAATTTTAAAAAGATTAATTTTTCTGTAGGAACTCAATAGACTAGTATAGATGGTGTGGGTGGTTCAGGGAGCTGTTATCTTCATGACGCTCTGTTCTCTAATAGTTGGTACTAACACTGAAGCGGATGGTTCAGCTGATCTCACTGTTGGTCTTTAATATTAAAGATTAATATTTATAATTAACAGATATTAGTATTCCATGTACTTTTTGTAGTACCTTTTTCTGCTGTCTGCTCTCAGACCTGCTGGACTAACGAATACTCCAGCTTCCAGCTGTAAGATCTTGGGTGTGGTTGTGTTTATCTGCCTGTTCTTTTGCCTGCATTAGTGATGCCCATCTCTGGGCTGCTAACCAGGAGAAAGAGGATGTTGACTGGGCTTCTGGTTCTGAACCACAAACAGTGGCAACAAAAATACCAGCTGAATTGCCTGTAGATGCAGATGAATTTAAAGGACAACCTATCCTAGTATTGAAGTTAGCTTTATTACTGCAGCTGGTAAAGGAGCAGTGCTGCTTTCTGTCTTGAAATCAATGTTTATAATCCCTGTAGAAAAACTGCAGGTATGTATATGGCACGTAGTACTAACAGTTGCTATAAAATGCTACAAATGGATTTAAAAAATTACATAACACCCTGCTTCAAACCTTTGTATACTATGTGTTAACAATGGCTTTGCTTCATGTGTCTGTTCACTGAGCCACAATAATATGTCTTTTACTTCCATTATTGTTGTTGCATACTGGTTTTTACTAATTCCAGGAGTTTCTGCAGTATCTCTCCAGTATACCATGGGAGAAGAAAGCTTGTTGTGGTTATGTTCTTGAGGAGGTTTTTTGCTGTGTTTTTTTTTGATTTTGTTTGGTTTGTTTTTTTCTGAAAGGTTCAGAGGAACAGTGTCTTTGCAGGATGTAGATAAAGCAGTATATTTTCCAAATGCATTTAGTCTTCAAGCATTTCAGATAATGCTAAGTCTTGCTATTATGTTGGCAGCCATAATAAGGTGTTTCAGTAACAGAATGAGTTCTATTTCTTCTCTTGAGAGATCAGGTTTAGGAAATGTGCAGACACAACAATTTTACCAACAAAGTACAAAACTGGTTTCACGTTGAAGGAGAAATGCAGACACTGTAAAGTCAAAGTCATTATGCAGTGTCGCCAGGGAGCTTTCTTGCTCCCAGTAGGGTTGGATGGATTAGGATAAATGCAGGGTTCTTGAAGACAGAAAACTTAATTTGACAAAAAAGGCTGACTTTTTCCTCAACTAACTGTACACTAGTGTTAGAATACAACATCATTGCACTGCTCTGTTGAACACTTACAAATGGATCACATTTTCATTTTCAGCTGCAACTTGAACCTCCAACCCAACAGCACAGAAAGCCTTTTAAAAAGATTTTTTTCAATGCTAGTATACAAGTGGCTTTCAGATTTACAGTGGAGGATTGATTTAAAACAAAATATTAGCCTTTTAGTTCAGGACTGTATAATTTACACCAAAGTGACAGTACAGTGATTTATCCCATAGTGCTTGCAGCTTTAGGGCATATATGTGTAATTCTTTGCTATCTAGCTGAATTATCTTCCCGTACAGATACACAGTTATTTTTGTTCAACTGCATACTGCAGTTTTGTTGAATTTTTTTAAACTTTAATATGTGAAGTTTAAAATATCTTTAAGCCTTAAATTCTAAACAATTCTAGACAAATGCTAAACAGTAAATAGAGGCTGTTGTGGGTTCTGATTGTTTTGCCATGCCCATCTGTGGCGTTCTATGAAGTTCATCATATGAAAATTTTAGCATTGTCATTGTCTGTTCTTTAGATCAGGACTAGGCTGCTGCTTAAGTGTTAAATAGTTCTGAGCATTTTAACTTGGAAGTTGTAAAACTCCTATATATCTACCTTCTTCCAGCTCTTTATCCTGAGAATCCTCAATAGCAGGGTCCTTTTTGGTCAATTGGACTTGACTTACTAGTGTTGGAGTGGCCTGTCTTGTTTGAGAATAAAATGGAAGAATTTGCTTGAGATAAGGAGTTTATGCCATGGCTACGAACCAAAAGCAAAGAGTGCTTATCCGAGAGCATGCCAATTCCACAGCACCGTTCTCTTCCCACGGAGCAGTGTGGGTGGTGCTTCGTAGCTGTTCAGGCCCTGTGGGTACACTGCATCTATCTGGATTATGATTGTGGTCGTGAGGCAGGAGTTCCTGCTCTGCTGCTTCATTTGTTAAGCTGTCTTTCTGGTAGAATCCCAGCTAATAAATGGTCAAAATACCCCAATCGTTCTTTCTGGGTGTAAAATTTTGGATGCGCTTGTTCTGGAGAGATTGCGATTAGGACTTTAATTGAGCAAAGTGTTTTGTAAGGGTGGTTTTGTTTTGTTTTTATAAACATTTGACATTCTACAAAAAAAGGTGTACTCTTAGACGTTTCACTGAAGTGCAATCCATGTGATCCAGAGTTGGCTAGACTTCAATCCAAGGTATGTGGTCAAAACAACAATGCTCAGAATTCGTGGGTTTTTTTACCATGATAGTTTATATTTAGGGTGCTTAACATAGACCCTGATGCTAAATCTTGCTTCATAATGTAAAAGGGCAGGAAGAGAAAGCAATACTGGGGGTTTTGTGGGTTTTTAAGTTAATTTCTGCCAGTCTTCAGAGAAAAAAATGCTTTTGGAGTAAACAAACAACGCAGTTAGACTAGCCCTTAATGCAGGTACCAGTAGATGGTGCCACTGATACTGCGATTGCTCTGCTTATGAAGAAGGATTTTTGTCTTCCCCGTGAGAGAGGGAATGGATCCAATCTCTGATTGCCAATTTCACAGTAATTGACCCAAGGCTTTTCCTTACTATATTTCACCTATTTAGAAATACCCAGTCTCTGTATTCTTCTCCATGAAGAAACCTTTTGTGTTCTGTTAGGGAAAAACAACAGTGTGCTCTAAGACTTTAATTTTCCCCCAGGTATGTTCAGTTTACAGAGATGAAATTATTAGCTTTCAGCAGGCAGGTACTTGTTCAGACCAGAATAAAACTTTCTGCTGTTTGTCTTTAAAAGAGATGCCATGCAGAAATCCCCTCAATTAAAATACACCCCCTCAATTCAGCCAAAGTCCTTTTTTAGTTTAGCTTTTGTATGTGTGTGTGAAGTAATGAGACTTTCACTTCTTCTCTGAGAGTTAATGGCTAAATGGTTAATAACATTGTAGTAATTTGCTGTGGCTAGTCACCCTTGACTGTGTGTTCCAACAAGCTTGAAAAGTGTAAATACTGCTTCAGTTATTGATTAACAAGAGGGAATAAAAACTGTTAAATAGGTAACTGGGGTACCTGCAATGTTTCACCAGGAGTTATTATTGGGAGGCTGCTTAGCTATGCCTCTTTCGGGTAGTATGTTCTGGTGCTTCTAATCCACAATTTAAATACATAACTATCCCTCTTTCTGTGAGTGGATGTCAGAGATCTTGGAAGTGTGCTCTTGTGACAGCAGCAGAAAGGAGAGGGAAGGCAGTTGTGTATGCTTTGTTTTGGGGTTTTTGTCTTCCTGCTTTTCCAGTTTTACTTTGTGCCAGGGCAAGCTCTGGATATTGACTGTGTTTTGGTTTTTGTGTGTGGTTGGTTGGTTGTTTTTTTTCCCTAGCAGTAGGGAAAACCTTAATCCTTCATAAAGTGTAAACTTAAGATTCATTTTTCCCTTACAGGCGATTTCTCACTTGAAGCATGCAAATTTTAAGATGTTTTTCTCCATGCGAAACAGTAGGCATGTTCTGTGTTTCGTTAATGTTCCAGCATTAACTTACGTTCTGGAAATAAACCAAAAATACTGTCTTCAGCTTGTTAAATGAGGCCTCAGAGTGTAGTTGGTTTCTCTGCATTTAAAAGTAATACATGCACTTTTATGCAAAACGGCTGTGTTATAGTCCGTGTCCTGTTACACGATGCCACAAACCAGCTTTAACGGTGTTTATCCTATCTTTACAACCAGGTAGTCTTTGGAAGAAACAAAGTACGAACTAAGGAAAACACAAATTGCCCTCTAAAATTCCCTAAGGGAAGCGTGGTATTATGAAATGAGTATGAAGGCAGGTAATCAAGGAAAGAGAAAAGAAAATAAGGAAAGTTCTGTAGAAAATTTTGAAATACTACTGAGCTTTAGGGAAAAGGGTTGCCACATCTGCTGAGGGTTTTTTATGTAGTAACTACTACATTCGTTTAGAAGTTCACTACCTTAGAAATTGAGATGTGCTTACCTTCCTGTATGTCTGCTGCTACTCAAAAACGAACAAAAAAACTGCGATAACAAATGGAGGTGTCTGTAAGAATTTTTCATTTTGTATATTGAGAGGGTTCTGAATTTTGTTTGTCTGATAGTTTCTTAAAGGTAGAATTCTGTAGTTAAGATGGTATTTGGCGTTTTACCTAAGGCAGTGGTTTTGAAAGGAAATTAACTGTGAAGGATTCCAGCAGGATGTGGTAGTATACCTTCTTGTAATGTTATTTTTCAATGATGTTGCGATCTGAAGTGTGAGGCTGTAAAATCGCATGTACACAGTTCTGTCACTCTTTTCACAAGTAAAATGGTACCCATACTTGTACACGTACATACATTTTTGTCTATAAATTGCCTATTTTATCATCTGCTTTTGTTTGCAGGTTGGATTTGCTACCGTTTTATGCAAGACTGGTTGCCACATTGCATCCCTGTATGTCTGATGTAGCAGAGGATCTTTGTTCCATGCTGAAAGGGGATTTCAGGTTTCATGTATGTTTTGTGGATTTAGTTTTTTGCATGCAAATTGATCAATCTGATAATAGTCATCCTTTGGGGAATAAAATAATGTTTGATATTATGTAGATGCTTGTTCTTAAAATCAGTGAATGTTTTCTGTCATCTGGGCAGATTTGTTCTAGAATACTAGATCTGTTAAAAAAAAAAAACAAACATTTTTTACAGCTTACCATATATGCCTGCATATATATATTAAAATAAACTTTACAACAGCTACAAGTTGCAAAAGTGAGAAACTGTGCTCCAGCTGTAAGCGTTAAGAGGTTTCTGTAAATTAATAACTTGCATTTAAAATACCTGACATGTTCCCCAGTACAAGGTTAGTTGTTGTAATTAGTGGTTGCTATTCTAATGCAGTGCTTAATTCAAATTATCTTTTACAGTTTTCATCAAGCAAAATTTTCTGTTCTTCACAAACGTGTTTTTCACATGTTTCTTTCATTTTGTTCTAAGTTTGTAATCGAATTGGTTATGGTGCACAGTGATTCCTTCATTATTTTTTGAGTTTTATGGCACAGATTTCATTTTTTTTCCCCTAATATTGACATTAAAAGTGTGTATGAATTGCTCAGACTTACTTAAGTCCTAACTCTCTGAAGTTAACTTCTTTGTTCTCAGGAAAAGCTGCTTCTGTTGGGGAGAAATAAAATTTTGTATTTTGAGGATTATGCTTAGCCATAGATACAAGTTTATACTTTGTAGTAACATGCTGGGTGTCAGTAGCTTTAAAAGGAAAAAAGAAAAGAAAACAAAAAGTCTGCCTTTTATTAAAGCTGACTTGAAAAAGCTGACAATACTTTTCCTTAGGGACTGTACAAGTGGTCCTATTCATAATGGGGCTACTTACTGATTCTAAAAAATATAGAATCTACAATACTTAACCACGCCTTCACTGTGGTGAAGCGGGGGTGGCCAGACTGATGTGTGTCTGTAACTGTAGGTATGTTAGGGGACTTAGTTTTGGGGGGGATGAGGGAAAGAAATTCAAAAGCTGTGAAGAAACACAGTTGTAGAGGGACTTCTGGGACAGGTAAAAGTCGAGCATAAGGAACCAAACCAGTATCAAACACTGCTGAATTCCCAAGCTTATTACGCACATTCGGGTCAAAGTAATTAAGAGGTAGGTGTTTTTGAGGGCCTAAAATCAAATGTGTTGGGGTTTTTTCTTGTTTTGTTTTTTTAGGTAAGAAAAAAGGACCAGATCAACATTGAAACAAAGAATAAAACTGTGAGATTCATTGGTGAGCTTACCAAGTTTAAGATGTTCTCCAAAAACGATACTCTCCACTGTTTAAAGGTTGGTGTTGTGATACTCCTGTACTGCTGTGTATGCTGATAGTGTATCCCCATCCTGTTCCCCTTCATATATCTGTTGCTGATGTTATCCATTAATTAATGGATATTTGCATGGGATATTTCAAACCCTGATGTCTGTTGCTACTGTGTATGAGGAGTATACTCCTGGAGTACAGCTGTTCTAGAAGTTAGTGTTTTCATTTTTCTAATGGTAGGAATATATTAAAATGAACTTTCAACTTTGGACATAACCAAGTTGCTAATAATTTTCTTTGTAAAGTGATGGTGGACATTGCTACTTATTCATCTGCTATTCATTGCAAAACTTTGGTTATGTTGGTTTCAATTAACGTTTTTACAGAGGAAATAACAGTAAGGGGAAGGGGTCAGAGGCAGAAAGCTTTTCAGTGATGCGCAGAGAGGCTTATGTGCCGTTTTGGCAGGTGCTTTTGTTTAAGGAGCAAAATAAACCCTGGGAAAGCAGCAATCTCTAGGCATATCATCTCAGTTTGCATGCTGATAAACTTTCAAACCTATCTTTGATGTCAGGTCCCAAATTAAAAATGGGTTTTAAAACATGAAAATGTGTTTTATAAAAGGTGGTTGAAGACTCACGTGGGTTAAGATCTCTTTCTGGGTGAATAGTTTCTGTTCATTGACTCATTAGGTGTCGAACCTGGATTCTTAAAAAAATTACACTCACTTGTCATTTTTCTTCACTTGTCTATAAAATACTGTAAAATGCAAAGCTCGATTTTTTGTTATTGGTTAGTTTAAACAATAAAATTAACTTCCATGTGCTTTGAGGTTATTGTGTCCTTGTGCAGTATTATTTGGTGATTTTCCAGTCTAGCAGCAGGAATTTTAAAGCAGATATGACAGAGTTGGAAGGTGTATGGGGAAGATTACAGTGTTTGTTTTAATGTTGTAGTCTTTTTATGCTAGGCTTAGGAAGCATCCTGGTTTTCACGTTTTTGGAGCCTAAATTCGGGCTCTGGACTGTTATTGTAATACTTTTTTTTAATGAGATGATTATTTTGAATTTTATTAATATCTGATCAGTGAAATCAATTTGTGGTTTTTTTCTTAAAGAATATGGAACATCACAGTAGTGTAAAGTCTGGTAGATATAATTTACTGTTTTCTGCAGTTGAAGATGTTTAACTTGCTGTGTTTTTACATAAATATATACCAGATGCTTCTGTCAGACTTTTCTCATCACCATATTGAAATGGCATGTACTCTGCTGGAAACCTGTGGAAGATTCCTCTTTAGATCACCAGAATCTCACTTAAGAACCAGTGTTCTTCTGGTAAGAGAAAACTTGTTGTCTTATGGGGGAATGTGTCACGCACTGAATTAAACCAGTTACTGCTTTTATTTTCTGGCTTTGTGATGTGGTTGGACCATAACGATGACTGTGACTAATCTCTTAATTGTCAGTTACAGTGTTCAAGCACTGGTAAGTGATAACTTTCATTAAGTTTTATGTGGAGTGCTCAGGGAGGATAGAGTTCTTGATTCTTTAATAAAAACAAAGACAAGCATGGGAGGACAGGGAATCGGTTTTCATGAAATCTTGACTCCTCATTGTGGAATGGGATTGAGATGGACTGGTGTTACGTATGTTCAGGTCCTAGGCTGCTTTGGCGCTATCAGCCTTTGTAGCCTATGAACTTATGTTGTCTTGTTATTCGTAGCCTGTCAAGTGTTGTTTCAGTTCTGAGATAGCACCTCCTGTGAGAATAGCTTTCTGAAAGTATTCCAGAGAACTCCACTTGACCTATAAATCTGTTCATGACTTAAAGGAAAATGTGAATACATTTTAACTACAAATAATTCAGAGATAGGGCAAAAATAGAGAATGAGGTTGAAAGAATATAGTGACTGTATCTGAACACACCTGAGGTACTGTTTGAGGGGAAATGGTAATGAATGGAACCAGAGATGACAAGGTATTTCAGCTGGTGGTGAAGACAGTTGTGAAAGAGGTGGTTTCTGTGCCCTGTGTAACGATCTGGGGTTCTAAATTTGAAGGAAAATTTTATGAAGACACTAGAGAATGGGATTTTAGAAATAGAGTTTAGTAATTAAGGTGAGAGTAGAAGTGGTATCCATAAATCTATATAAGTAGCGGAAAAGATTTAAAAATAACGAGGAGTAGTTTAAGTCTTTTTGAATAATATGTTTACGAGCTTGAGAGACAATCCTAGAAGTCTGTGTCCAAGGCAAGAGACTGAGACAAACATGGTTGAAGTCCTTCAAAGATACTAGCAATAGGAAATTGCATTAAATTAAAAGCAGCTTAGGCAGGTACAGACCAACTAATAGACGATGTTGTTGTGTTAAAAGTCTGACTGGATGTTTTAATGTTCCCTTCAAATCTGTGCACTGCAGGAAGAGTATAGACGTGGTATGTGTAATAAATAAAGCAGTCTCTGTGTTTGGGGGAGGAAGCGGGCATGGTTTGCCCTTCTGGAAGGGAGCGGTTTAGGAGCTGGGAATCTCTAGAGACACAGCTCTTAAGCTGTGAGATATCACTCTCTGCTGTACTCATCCCCTTTCTTATCAAAGCACGGGCTTACACTTGACAGGTCTTTCTCTTGACTCTGTAGCCTGTCTCCACATGCTCTGGAGTTAATGGAGAAGCAATTGGTACATACTTGGATATGTTGTGCAATTTCTTTTCCATGAATTGCTGTTTCTTTCTGGACCTCTTTGAATATCATAGGATTTGTGTGGTGGTGTAGTCATAAGAGGAAAGAGATGGACATGTTAACTGCAAGTTCTTGGTTTGTGCTTGTTGTATCTTGAAGGGTTTGGATCTCAATTTTCTAAAGGTTTGCCAGCTGACGTGTTTTATTATATGTTAAATATATCCCTTTCCATAATCAAGTTATCTTTCCCCTGAAAACACATTATCTTTAAAAGACACTTTACTCATTGCTACCATTTTTTTGTAGTTAATAAAAATTTTAGAAGTCAGGAACAATTAAATACCTTTACCAGAGCTGCTTTTTGTAACTGACTGCTTAATGTTGTGCACTACAAAAATGCTGACTGTGAGCTGTATGGCTGAGACCCGCTGGGTGAATGTTCAACGTGACTTAGCTGTGAAGCATAAGACAAACTGCAAACAGTGTTGCAATAACTGAGGCTTAAAGCCTCACAAGGGTTTGGATAAGTAGTCTTTTCTTATGCATTGAGGAACCAGGAGAAGACAGAGATGGCAAATATCTATCTTTGGAATATCTATTGATTAAGATGTAAAATAGGCTAAATGGATTTATGTTCTACAACCATCCTAATAGCTGCATCTTCTAACGTTGCCCTATAGAAACCATAGAGATTAATTTTGGCTTAAATAGTATTATACAAATTGGATCGTAGTCTTATGGTACCTGTTAGTGTGAACTGTAGAAAAGATTATTCCCAAAGCAAGCTAATCAGGATCTTGTGGTAAAAATCTAAGTAAATGTAAAGCTGATCTTATCAGTGACTCTTATGGGTAGTATTAAGGCCTGTTGATCTTCCAAATAATTATTGGTCTTAATCTTTACTATATATAATGATATATTATGTAATAAGATGCCAAACAGACTGTATGTCTCCTATTAAAGACAATATTGCTTTGTCCTGGGGAGGAAGAAAGCTAAGAATGGATTTTTAAAGTAATTAAGGGAAATTATTAAGAAGTAAAGCCTTCTGTAAGAGTGCCACAAATTTAGCAGCACTAAGTGACTTATTCTAGAGAAACATTTAATGATCAAATTCTAGTTTTGTAGAACTACTGTCATGATACGCAAATTATTTAAAGGTTCTTCTTTTATCAGGGCAATGTTTATTTCTGTTAATTATTCTTCTTGGCAACTCTTTCAAATTCAGAGTCCTTTATGTAACTTAAAATATTAATGTAAAACTAACTCGGCTTTAGGATTAGTTTGTTAAATAGGTTATTTGAATTAGTGCTTTGGAAGGAAGATCAGCATTATCTTGATCTATGTTTCTGTAATGTAATCATGTTAAAATGTCAGATTCTTGTGTTATGCTGTCATGTTAAAAGAAAATTTGAAGTTTTGGTACTAAAAGCCTTCTGATGTGTTTTTAATCCTTCAATTTAGATAGTTGTATCAAATTGTATTTTTAAGCTTTAGGGCAAGATCACCTGTATTTATAGGCATAGAACTTAAGCTACATGATGGCTTATTTCTTGGGATGACTCCTTTTATAGATGGAGTTGAAACTGTGGGAGAGCATTGTACAGACAGAGATTGTGACAAAGTAATTGTAGCTGGAATGAGACTGTTAATTCACCACAACAACAGTGTGCTTCCAAGAAATTTAAAATTTTGGTTTTTGAACTGTTGGAACAAATAGGGCAGAGCAGTGCAAGTAGTAAAGGGAAGGAGGAGCTGACCAGTTTCAGTATCTTATTACAATCTGAAAATTTAAATGTCAATCATGCTGAAATGCTTTTCAGAATTGGGCTTTTCCTGCAGCTTCGGTTTTACTTGGTGATTTCCCCTCCCCCCCCCCCTTTTTTTTTTGTGTGTGCTGTTTTGCAAAAATTCTATTTCTTGCAATGCAAATTGGTGTTAATAGGTTTGGGGCAGAGACGGGAGCAAGACTACTAACCAGAGGAACACCTCCTAATTCTCACCAGATTTTCTTTTGAAATGCATCTGCAATATGTGCTACATGCAGAGAGGTTTTGTTACTCACCAAGTAAAAAACAAAACAAAGCAAAAAAAGGCAAAACAAAACCAAACCAAAACAAGCGAAAAAAACCCCACCACCACAACAACAAAAAAATCCAACAAAAACCCAAACCAAACCCTTTTACTGTTTTAACTTGGATATTTTGATGTTGTATGTGATCTCTTTTTATCAAAGGAAAACCAGAAACCTAATCTGCAAATTTAATGCTTTACCTTTGTAGTTCTTCAATTCAGTGCAGTGAAATGAAGACCCAAAATAGTTAAAGTGCTTTAGACTGCAGGTCTTGTATTTTCTTCTGAAATGTGTCAAGGTTTTTGTTGTTGTAGGCAGTGTATTGCTACAGTTTCTCTTTCCTGCCTGTCCATCTGATGTGATGCCTTAAATGAAAAAGGATTGAAACATACAGTTGCTTAAAATAATGGTGACTTTTAGTAGAGATTAAGACTAATACCATCCACTTAGAGTTAGAATGCATACTTGGGATTGCTCAAAAAAAAGATAAATTACAGTGATTTTGAGACTTGGAGTAGTGCCTATTGTCTCTTCTGGGAAGAAACATTTTAATTATAAAATATTACTTGGAGTATAATGTGTGAATTTTTATAATACGAAAATATACAAATTATGTATTTTTACCATTTTTTTTAATTGACTTGCAAGCCCTTCTGCCATTTTCTTTGTTACACTTTACTTTGCCCTACTTCATTTTTCAGTTTATAGTAAAACATGATAAATGTCATTAAGGCAGCAAAGTATGTTACTCTGTTCCATCTAGAAAAGGTGAAAACATGTATGACATGGTAAGGTTTTGGAACTTTCTGCTGTAAGTAGTTTTTCCCCACATAAAGCTGTTTACTGAATTGTGAAGTGCTGTGCCTCTGTTAAGCACCTGTAGATAAACATGCTGCTACTAGACAGAAACTTCCCATTTGGAAAGGAACAATCCCAGGGAATCAAAGGGGAAGCCCTTTGTCTCATGGAAAAGGTTAAAAATGAAATGCCTTAGGGTTGGTGTCAGACTGAGACCTCCCCGGCAATAGATGCATACAATCTGGCAGGAAAACTGCGTTATTTGTTGGGTTACTGCCTTACACAAAACTGTTCTTCCTCGTTGAGTTAGTAGCTGAAACTCCAGCTTAAGGAGCTGTTTGAGTACGTTTACAGTTGAGTTGAACTGAACTGCTGCCTTGTAGAAGAAACTTGAAATTATTCAAGTTTAGCAGAAAGTCTATCAGCGTGAAAAATTGTGCTTCTTCACAAAGAAGTTTTAAACTCTTTTCAGTAGTTTAGTGGATTGCATGAATATGTATACTAACATTTGTGTGTGGTGATAAAACAGTACTTGCAGTTCAGGTTTGTTTATCTGTTGTTTGATGTAAATTACTGTGTAGCCAACCTCTGTTAAAGCCTAACCAGTGCAGTTTCTTTTCCTATTGATCCACCTTAGGGCGATTTAGAAAATATGGGATCGTATGATGTACATAAAAATGTAACACAACTTACAGAATTGCACGCATACATGCATATACACATGCATTAAAAAAAAATATTTTATAATGAAATTAAGCTCATCTTCATCTTTAACTGTAAAAATCAGCAGCTTAGAACTGCTACTTTAGTTCTTGTACAGAATTTTTAGATACAAGAAGTTTTTAAAACCCACAAAATAGATCTTTAAAGTACATATCCAAAATGGAGTAAGGAGAAAAGATTTGTATTCAGTGAGGAAAATTAGGACAATCCTGACAGTTAAGCACAGTAATTAGTGTTGATGTAGTAACCTTGTCTGATTTTTTTCTGAAATACTACTTTATGGTAGGTACTGGTTTTCTTGCAGTTCATTCTGCTTGGGTAACCAGCAATAATGGAGCATGTAATAAGGAAAATGCCATTGCCTAAACCATTGACAATTCATGTGAAACCATCGGTATAAACTCTCCGGAGTTGCATACTGATGTGAAAGTAGATTGCCCCTCTTAGGATAATTCGCTATGCTTGTGTCAAGCCATCAAGTTTTTCAGCTACTTCAGTTAAATAAAATCATGTTTTGAGTAGAGTGGCTAATAATCTTATTAACTGCTTATTTAAACACTAACATTTAGATGCCAAGTTAAACTTTAAATATTTGTCGGAAACCTTTTTCACCACAGGTGAACCATTATAAAAATAGGGATTGTAAAGAAAAATGACCTTGGAAATAGCCACGCAAACCCATATATGTGCTTTTGTCCTTTCTTCTCTCTACCTAAGGTTTTAACTTACTTCTCTGCAACTGTTCATGTTTCCTTTATCCCAGATGAAACTGTGAAAGCCTTTGACTTGAAGACGTAGTATGTCAACATCTTTAATCATTTGCATTTATTTTCAGGAACAAATGATGAGAAAAAAACAAGCAATGCATCTTGATGCCCGCTATGTTACAATGGTAGAAAATGCCTATTACTACTGTAATCCCCCTCCAGCTGAAAAAACTGTGAAGAAAAAACGTCCTCCTCTGCAGGAATATATTCGTAAGCTTCTGTACAAGGATCTCTCCAAGGTCACCACAGAGAAGGTAAATCCTTTTGAAATCTTTAATACAGGTTTTACTGGAAGTGATGTAGTACTTACTTACAAAGGGTTTGGGGAGGGTTGTGATTTTTTAATTGCAAGGAAGAGGGATCGTTTTTATATCCCTGATTAAGATAGTTTCATTTCTTTTATTGTACTGCATACAAGCTCCGGTCACGGGCCTGCATTCTCCACAGCATTAAGTGCTGAAAAAATAGAGAATGAAATGAGAATCTTTGTGCCAAGTATCTTGTGTTCAGAGTAAGAGACAAAAGACTACGGTTAAATACAGAGTGTAAGAGCATGGAAATTACAGAACAGATTTGGACAGCTTGATTAGTAGCTAGAGCAGAGCAGTTGGGTTACATAGATAGTTTTCTGTAGCTACTGCAGGTCTGGAGGATGCTTGAAAAAGAGAATGAGGTTGCTTGCAGGTGCTTACAGGGCTTTCATCCCAACCATGAGAGATGGGGGATGACAGTGAGTATTTTGCCTGCTAAAATGTTGAGCTTGTCTTAAAATTTGATTTAGGTCCTGAGACAGATGCGCAAGCTGCCTTGGCAGGACGCAGAAGTAAAAGACTATGTTATATGCTGTATGATCAACATCTGGAATGTGAAATATAATAGTATTCACTGTGTAGCCAACCTCTTAGCAGGGTTGGTCCTTTACCAGGAAGATGTTGGAATTCACGTTGTGGATGGAGTGCTAGAGGATATTCGACTAGGAATGGAGGTAAACAACCAACATGCTTCTTAAGCTGTGCTTATCTACTTAAGTTGAAAGGAAAACGGTAAAATAATCTTGCTTAAAGGAATCCTTGGATTCTGGATTTTTGTCTGATGCCTTTTCTACCTCAGTTGTTGTTTTTTAATTTAAATAAACCTACATAAACCAAACCTCCCACCCAAAACCCCAACAAACTCCAAAGACTACTAGGACAGATTTTTTTGCCCCCCTTGTCATAGTAAGGGCTTGCAATTTATTCTCTCACGGTGTAGTCAGATTCATGCAACTTCAAGTAACTCTGGGGACACGTCCATATTTTGATAGATGTTATAATTACAGGAATTCTCTGGGCAATAAAGAATCATCTTAGATTTAAGATAGAGCATATGCTAAATGTATTTGAGCTTTGAAGTAACTACTAGTTGACCAGCTTTCATAAGTACTTCTTAATGTTTGATTTAGTGTAATGTATGTAGCCATAAATAACCATCTTTTATTATAACAAATTCTATCAGTTTTTATACTGCTTTTTTTCTTTAAAACAAAAAAACAACAAACCTTTTGCGAAGATACTATTGTGTATGCATGATAAAGTGAATTTTCTGTCCTTTTTTATAAAGGTTAACCAGCCAAAATTTAACCAACGGCGGATCAGCAGTGCCAAGTTTTTGGGGGAGCTTTACAATTATCGGATGGTGGAATCAGCTGTAATATTTCGAACTCTGTATTCTTTCACATCATTTGGTGTGAACCCTGATGGTAGTCCTAGTCCACTGGACCCTCCAGAGCATCTTTTCAGAATCAGACTAGTTTGTACTATCCTCGATACCTGTGGGCAGTATTTTGACAGAGGATCCAGCAAACGAAAACTTGATTGCTTCCTTGTGTATTTTCAGGTATTTTAAGCTAAAATTTATATAGTTATGTAGATTTCTTTAACAAGCTAGTGTAAGTCAGTCTGTTACATATTTCTCTCATTGTTCTCTAGCACTGTAATTCTGAGAATCCTGTCTGTCCAACAGCAGTTCTGTTTGAAAGTGATGTGTATGTTCAGGTGTATGCAGATGTCACTGTTCCAACAAACTTGCAGAACGCTGGGGCAGCAGTTGATTCACTGAAGGGTTTAGTCGTACCCCCTTCAAGGAGTCTCAGCAAAAATGCACTGACAGAAACCCTGTGAACTCCAGCAAAGGCAAGTAAGTATCTGCCAGCTGGGAAGGAGTAGCTCCATGCAACGGTGCTGCCTGGCACTGGATACCTCGAAAGCAGCTTTGCAGGAGCGGAGCCGGGACTGCGGGACTGTACGCACGTGGCGTTAAGTTCTGCACCATCAGGGTGGTGAAGGCCAGCAGCAGCCTGTGTTGTGTTGGCGAGGGCATAGCCAGCGGATTGAGGAAAGTGCATTTATTTTATCACTTTTAATTTTTTTTTTTTCACTTCTGCTTGGCATTTGTGAGGCCACATCTGGAGCACTGTTTCCAGTTTAGGGCTGCCTGGTAGGTGAGAGGAGAGCCATCAGCAAACTGAGCTGAGTCCAGTGGAGGGTCACTAAAGTGATCGGAGGGCTGTCGGTTCTCGCATGGTGGGTTTGCTCGGCTTGGAGAAGAGAATGCTGATTAGGTTGCTGTCCTCAGCTAATAGTGTTTGTAGAGAAGGAGTTACCAGATACTTCTCGGGCACGGTGAAAGGGTGAGAAGTAACGGTCACAAGTTGCAGCAAGGGAAGTCCTGACTCAATAGATGTAGCAGAGGGGGGGGGGAAGAGAGTTGATGATGGGAGTGTTTAAACGCTGGAATGGGTTCCTCAGAAAATGAGGAATTCCAGTCCATGGATTTCATGCTAAAACTCTTTGGACTTAATTTCTCTTTCTTTCTTTCTGCTTCTCTTTAAATTATACTAAAACAAGGATATTGAAAAATAAAAATTAAGGTGATGACTTATTTCAGACCTTCAGGATACATATCCTTCGTCTGTATATACATCACATAAAATGATGTGTTGCAGTACAGTCCCGTCCTATTTTTAAACCCAAAATAAACTTATCAGTGAAGAAGTCATTATATTTTTGTTATCATTTCAGTAAGTGTTCCTTTTGACCATGTCACCTTTTAAGTAAAGATTCTGTTACTCGTACATCATGTTCAGGTACAATTTTTGCAACACCTTTGTTCTCAGATTCTGCTGTTAGGTTCACTTAAGATCAGCATTTATTTTTTGCAATTTTAATGTAAGGGGTATGTACTAATTTGTTATAAAGCAAACTGGATAAGTCACTTCATGCTAGCTGCAGTTTTAAAACTTTGTGATGTTTCCCCCTTTCTCCCCATAATATGCCTTTGGGGGAATTAATTTCCTTGAAAATATATGGAGGAAGGAATTGAAAGCTGGCTGATTAAGTGCTCATTTCTCATAGGAAGAATCTGCCCTTAGAAGGCGCTTTCTTTTCAGTGCTTTTTTGCTCAGTCTTCATGCTTCTGACAGTCGTTATGATAAAAGGAGCATGTTCTTAATGTTCATGATATCCAATGTTATCGAACAACATTTAGTGATATCAAAATATTTAATAGTTGTATGAAATAGGAGAGTAGCGATGTGAGATCTTTTGCATTTTCTACTATACAGACATGGCTAGGCATTACAAACTTCGTAAGTTCAATAGTTTATAAATGCCAGTGTGTATATAATTTATTAGAATATTTTGTATTCTAGCGGTATGTTTGGTGGAAAAAAAGTCTGGATGTTTGGACAAAAGACCACCCATTTCCTATAGACATAGACTATATGATCAGTGATACGCTGGAACTGCTGAGACCAAAGATAAAGCTCTGCAATTCACTGGAAGAAGCAATCAGACAGGTGCAAGACTTGGAACGAGAATTCCTAATAAAATTAGGTAAGAAAAAACGCAAGGGAAATAAGGTTTTTTTGACAATCCCTGTATTTCTTAAAACTATCTTTTGTATGATGATAACTAACTATTGTTATTCTCACAATAGAAATATTTTTGTAACTTCTTTGCATTTTTCTCATCACCATAGAGATCGTATGGAATCTCCGTAACTCTATAAAGTAAATGAATGTTTAAAAAGTCAAAATGAATACTATTAATATAGTAGTATTTGGAGAGGGGGAGTGTGTGTGTGTGCATATACATATATGTGTATTAGTATGTGGAATAGTATGGTGCAAATGATGAGGAAGAAACCTGTGAATTTCACCAGAAGCATTTAGGAAGCATGCTCTGCTACGGAAAGCAAGGACTATCTGTGTGCTCGATTACTGCAGCCTCTTGGTTGGTAAGGACTGATGGAAGCCAGCTTGGTCATTTTGGTAGATGGTTTGTTTGCAACCCTGTGTTCCTTCCCCGCTTCTGGACTAAAGTTGCTGTGTCGAAGCGAGCATTAGTGTAAGGCTACAATAAAAGAGACATGTTTTGCTTTTAAAATGCTGTCAGGTGCTTTGAGCTTACACTTCCTTTGGAATGATTTTGTATGGGCTTTACATTTCAGTAGAGGCCGGAGGATGATTTCCTTTTCGTGAGTTAGAGCTTTGGTTGGATTATTAAAGGGTTTTTTCTTCTTAAAATGTATGTGTCAGCTAGGCTGTGTGCTAGCTTGTAGTAGTTCCTGCTAAAAGTGCAGTAATGTGTATTTGTAATTCTTGCTGTGTTAAAAATCGGTTAATTTCAGGAGAAAAAAGTTGAGCTTGCAGTGCAGCTCAGTTGACAAATATTGGTTAGTGTGTATCTAAAACTACTCTCATCATATTTACCTTTAAACCTTTTGTACATACCAGTTCTTACTAATTACTGGGTACTACTGGCGCTCATTTCTCATTAAATGGAGTTGTTTTCTAATCTTCCATTTCTGTTTGAAGACAACCTTGTTCATGAAAATATTTTATATGTAAATTTTACACTTTAAGTGTTTAACTGCAGCCTTAATAGCACTTCATCTAGTTAGACAAGTTCAATTTTTCAGAATAATCCTTTAATCCAGTGGGATGAGTAGGTGTAATGGCCAGGTAAGACACTGCAAGTTCTGGTTTAGGAGGAATTTATTTTTTTAATATGCTGTTTAATTGACATGCCTTAAAATTACCTATGTCATAACTGAAATGCAGATAAAAATTTCCTTACGGTGTATATATATATAAATGACTGGCTTTTATGCTCTCAAAGTGATAACCAAGAAGTAGTTTACAACTAGTTACATAAACTGTAATATTCTTTTGAAAGATGCCCAGCACTACTTTCCCACAAATCATAAGAACTTCTGTTCTCTGAGTCACCACAGCTACAGCAGTTGGATTCGGTGTAGTTAAGGGGGAGATACGTGGTCACTGCATGTGAGTGAGTGTTGGAGAACATTTTGTTGTGTTTATTTTGGCCTGAGCAAAGCCCTTCAACAGTACAGCCTCTACTGTAGGGGGCTGTGTCATTCCCGTTCTACACACACCACCCCCACCAAGTGTGTTGCTTTTCTTTATTGATTGTACTTGCTTGCTATTAAACATCAGTATAGGGTGGAATAGTTCCTAGTCCTGCTGTTAGGACTCAGGAACGTTGTCATCTGCTTTTCTGATCTTTGAAGGTTATGACAATAAGTGCAGGCATATCTGAAGGAAATTAGTTTTTTTAATACTTTAGCAAAAGCTCTTGTGAAGCTGCAGTTCTTGATCAATTTGTCCCCACAGTTCCTCGGCCCATGGACAGTAATAACACGGAGAAGGTATTGTGCTGAAAGCCGTGATGTGCTTTGCTCTTTGTCAGTCTGAAGTGTAATTCTCGGCAGAACAGTGGGGTGGCTTGTTGCCTGCGGACCTTGCGTTGGGGACTGACTGTTGGCTCCTGTGCCGCTCTGGTGATTTTGTAAGAATATGGAGTGATTCAAAAGAAAGGCTTGAATAATTATGGAGCAGCACATAGTTTGAAGAGCACAGTGCTTATGAATAGGGAGAAAAAAATGCTTTGAAACCTCTGGAATGTGAAGGAGGAAGTGTGTGTGTGCGCGCCTGTGTTCACACAGAACTCAAATCCTCGATAACTGCCATACAACCATATATACCATTCATTTTATTTCTGAGTTTTGTCAAATTTGAGCGTGTCTCTCAAAATTCACCTCCTCTTAAAGCTCATCTTTGATCTTAGTCAAATTTTTGTAGAGACCTGGCTCTGTGTGTCTGCATATTGCATCTCTTAAAGGTATCTGAAGGTGGAAAAAATAAAAAATCTGGTATGCTCTGAACCACTTGTATATTCAGAATCTAGACTTCTGCCTAAGATTTGTGTGCTACTGCATTTCTGCATTTGTTCTTTGCATATAGCAGAGAGCAAACAAGGAGTGCCACGAGCACAGAACTGATCAGAGAATGATGGAATCGTAGAGTGGTTTGGGTTGGAAGGGACCTTCAAGACCATCTAGTCCAACCCCCTGCCATGGGCAGGGACACCTCCCACCAGACCAGGTTGCTCCAAGCCCCATCCAGCCTGGCCTTGAGCACTGCCAGGGAGAGGGCAGCCACAGCTTCTCTGGGCAATGTTCTGGTGTGTTCCTTTGCTGTCCAAAAAACTTTGTGCTAACAGCTGACCCGAAGCGTGGTTGGTGTAGTGTCAAAATATGAATGACAAACTGCATGGTAACTGTATTGACTTCTTAGTAAAATCTTTGAAAAATGACTGGCTTAGATCTGCTGTGGTGCAGAAGGCTGGCATCAGCATCGCTTTCTGCTAGCTCGAGCTATGATCCCCTGGAGGATTAAGTGGCTTTGTAAATTAATGAAAAAAAATAAGACAGTATGAGAACAATAGCGTATGCTGGAAGTTTGTTCCTTTTTGCATTGGATGGCTTAATTTTTGCAGTAGCTGTTTTCTAAAAACAGATCTTCATTTTTTCCTGAATCAGAGCCATGCTTAATTCTTAAATATTTTCTCTGAAAACAATTCTGATTGAAATTTATAGCTAAGACTAAATTGAACACTGAAGCACTGAAAGAAGCTAAAACTTATTTTTCACTGCTGTGGGAATAGTATAGATAAGGATATTGCACTGAAGGATACCTTACTGAAAGAAAGCAGAGGTTTAGGGAGCCACTCTTGATACCTTATATAGAGTAAACTAAAATGTCTTCAAGGATAGATGTGGCAACCAGGTCAGTAAGGAAAACTGCAAGATGAACTGAAACACAGTGAAAGAACTGTCAGTCTTGTCTGCAGGTAGGATGAGCATGCTAGGTAATAGTTTTGGAAGAGACTCTCATTTCCTAAAGATTTTATATAGGCACCTGCATCTTCATATGTTCAAGTGCAGTCTGGGGACATGAGAAAAGAGTCAGAAAGATTTATTATAGGCTGAGAAAAGAGTCATTTCAAAACTGTTAATTGACAGTAGTGTGAAGTACTGGAACTAAGACTGGAGAGGCTTGGTGTCTTCTGGGTTCTGCTGCTTTTGTAGAGCAGCTGTACCTTAGTGCTTGTATTTCAGTGTGTGTTTCAGTAAGGTCGTGCATTTAGTTTGAGGATATTCTGAAGCAGTTTGCGCAGTGCAGCTTCTTGGTTGCTATTCTGTGGCAGTCTTTAAATATTCTCTGAAATATTTTCCTCCTTTTCTGGCAGGGAAATTATTACCCTTTATGAATAAGGTAACTATGTAGAAAATGTTTCATTCAGAAGTTGAATGAAGTTACAACCCATTGGAAGCTTTAGTGTTCAGTAACAACAGACTTTTGAAGTGATCTTCCACATACAACCTGAGTGGTTATATGTGTTCTAATTCTGTTCTACTTCCTTATTCTAATCCTTTCTCTTTTTTCCAAATTTCAGGAATTGTGAATGACAAAGATTCCAAAGATTCCATTACCGAAGGAGAGAACCTGGAAGAGGATGAAGAGGAGGAGGAAGGTGGAGCAGAGACAGAGGAACAATCTGGGAATGAAAGTGAAGTAAATGAGCCAGAAGAAGAGGTAAACTTAGTAATTTACCTTGCCTCACAAAAAGGATGAGTAATCAATATTTTGATTACTCATTACTTTCTGAAGCCCTTCCGTGTCACAGAGTTAGCAGGTGAAACGTGGGTATGTGCAGCCCAGTCGGTACTCTGAGGGTATTTCCATCCCAGTTTTGTATATATGAAAAACTGAATACAAAGTGTCTGAGGCTTATTCCAGAGAAATGGTGGCAGAAACTTGAACCTGACAACTTTGCTTAGGGTATGTCCTGCCTCTCAACAAAAAGATGCCTTCATTTTTTTTGGCATGAAAACACTTCCAGATAATTTTCCTTATCTGTTCTAGAAGCAAATTTATTGACTAGATGTCAGAGCAGTCATGTAGGAAAAATAACAGGTGTTCAGAGTATACCTGTATAATATGAATAAATAAAAGATTTATGGAGCGTAACAACCTTCCTTGTTTACTGTGCCAATAATATTTTGTGTCAAAAGTGGAGCCAATAAAAAAAGACGTGTACATTAGAAATTCTAACTTGTCACTATGACACAGCAAAATTACATGATAATGGTAGCGTTATGAGAAAATGAGTTCATCAAGGAAATAAACGCTTTTTCTCCTTATGCTTGGGTTGGCTGGTTTACTAGTAAGCTTTCTTTTGGTCTATGCTTCTCAGCATTAAAGTTCCTGAAATTTGGCTGGGTTTGTGCCTGTACCCACAAATTAATAATGTCATTAGAATCATAAACAGTTGGAGGGTGGGGAAGGGACCTCTGGAGATCTTCTTGTCCAACCTCCCTTGCTTGAAGCAGGGTCACCTAGAGCCGGTTGCCTGAGGCAATGTCCAATTAAGTTTTGAATATCTCCAAGGATGGAGGCTCCACAACCTTTTTGGCCAATCTGTTCCAGCATTCAAACGCCATCACAGTAAAGAAGCCTTTTTTTCTTAGGTTTAAATGAAATTTTTCCACTTGTATCCATTGCCTCTGGGTCTGTCACTGGTCACCACTGAGAACAGTCCGACTTCTCTTCTTTGCTCCCTCCGTTCAGGTGTTACACGCATTGGGATGATCTCCCCCCACCCTGAGCCCTCTGTTCCCCAGACTAAACACCACCGTTTCTCTCAGCCGCTCCTCCTATGGCAGGTGCTCCAAACCCTTAATCATCTTCATGGCCTGTTGCTGGACTTGCTCCAGTATGTCCGTATCTGTCTTGTACTGGAGAAGCCAGAGCTGGGCATGGCGCTCCAGATGTGTCTTGCCAGTGCTGGGCAGGCAGGAAGGATCACCTCCTGTGACCCGTTGACAGCACTTCTTTCCTAATGCAGCTCAGGGTGCAGTCAGCTGCCTTTGCTGCAGGGGTGCACGGCTGGTTCTTGGTCAGTTTGTTCTCCACCAGGCCCCCAGGTCCTTCTGCCAAGCTGTTTTCCAGACGGGCAGCTTCCAGCCTCAACTGGTGAATGGCGTTATTGCTCCTGAGGTGCAGGACTTCGCGTTTCCCTTCGTTGAACTTCATGAGTTCTCATCAATCCGCTCCTCCAGCGTGTTGAGTTCCTTCTGATGGGCAGCACAACTATCTGGTGTATCAGCCACTACTCCCAGTTTTCTGTTGTGTGTTTGTGAAAATCTTGGGTAAAGCTGAGTGAGCTGAAACAACTACAAAACATAAATTTACTAAGACTGAACCAACCAAACAGGTTCGGATGGGGAGAGGGTAGGAAAGGCGCAGAAAATGTCTATGAGGAGTCAGATGCAAGTGGAATTTTGTTTTAAAATAGTCAGAAGTTATTCTTGAATATTTCAGGAGGGGTCTGACAATGAGGAAGAAGAAGGTGAAGAAGAGGAGGAAGAAAACACAGATTATCTTACAGACTCCAATAAGGAAAATGAAACCGATGAGGAGAATACAGTATGTATTGTAGCTTTAGGTAGCTGAGTTGGCTTTTGCATCTTTGGTTTTCTTTACTGTATGTTTTTTTGCCAATGCTGCTCATACCATATCTGGGAGAACGTGTCAAGAACGCTCCCAGCTGTTCTTTCAAATATATTTTGGAGCTTATTTATTTTTGTATTCGCAAACTTTCAATATTACTTTCTGAAAATACTTACGCTGTCAACTTTACTACAGCATGTTTTCACAGGACTGCACTTTCACAGGTAGCTAGACTGGAAAAGGTTGCCTAAATGATGGTTTTGCAGTGCCAGCAATTGTAGCGAACTGGTATGATACCACAAGGTAAACTGGTTACACTCCCCTAGATCTCAAAACTGAGACGGAGGCAAACCAAGAAACTCAAGAAGCACAAATTTGGGATTGGCAGATTATAACATCTGTAGTAAAAGAACCCATCTCGTTGAGCCTGAATTGCAGTTAGATAGTAAGGAAAGTAATGGTTGTTGCAGAACAGTGTGTTGGGGTACTGACTTCAAACATTTTTATTGTCATGTTGTGCTTTCCAAATACTGAAGGATTATATTTGTCTTGAAAAGACCATGTGACGTAGGGACTTAATGGAAAAATCAGTTAAATTAGGTGTGGTGGGGTAGAGGCTTTTCTTTGTACTGTTGCCATATCTAGAATGTATCTGTACACGTATGCTGGTATGTCAGAATATTATGAGAGGCCAGCCTTCGTAATAATTGATGCAATAAACATCAGGAATATTTCAAGAAAATAATCCAGGCTGGAAACATTTTTCTTTAACAACTTGGGGTTTTAAAGCTTTTGATTATGTGTGATATGGAAGCCATAAGGATATTTTTCCACTTATTTCTAGACTGAACACTTGTATTTCTGAAACTCATGTAATAGAAGGTTTTTTCCCCATTGCAATAGGAAGTAATGATTAAAGGAGGAGGACTTAAGCATGTCCCTTGTGCAGAAGATGAGGACTTCATTCAGGCATTGGATAAAATGATGCTGGAAAATCTTCAGGTATTAATTTTAAAAATAAGTATTTATGTAATTTATACAGCTAACTGTATTTGATTATTTCTTTTAAAAATAAGTGATTCATGCTTAGCTTATCATACATGGATTTTTTTCCTCAGCTGTGGCCTCTTCTCCGCGATTGACTTGTTTGGATAAGTAGCTTTCAGTAATTTTTAAAAATAAGTGATTCATGCTTAGCTTACCATACATGGATATTTTTCCCTTAGCTGTGGCCTCTTCTCCACAATTGACTTGTTTGGATAAGTAGCTTTCAGTAAAATAGCTGTTAATTGTATTGTTTGCCCAGTGAATACATGGCTTGCTGACATATATTTTACTGGATGAATAACAACTGCATCAGATACTGTGCAATGCTTCTGACTATGCTAGACTACCTAAGCCTAGGTTTTAACGTGTTTAAAATGTAGCTGCATTTAAATTTACGTAACCTTTAAGTTCTTTTTTTTATTTTTTAAGTCCTGTCTGGTAAGTCGTAGAATCATAGAATGGTTTGGGTTGAAAGGGACCTTAAAGATCATCTAGTTCTAACCCCCTGCCATGGGCAGGTATTGAGTACAGCGAGCCTTGTATGAGGAATACAGTAATAAGATGCTGCAAAAAACCTTGAATGTGGAATGTCCATTCTCAGGTGTGTCTAATCAAGTTTCTAGATTTCTTTTCTTAAAAGGTTGTTATCCAGACTTACTTTAAAATTTGAAGTATTCTGTCTCTGTAACTTTCTGTTTCGCAAGCAGGGAAACCGAAGGAAAATGTAGTAAAGCCTAATACGTTTGTTTGTTCGTGCTCTGTTTTCCTGGAAGGTTAAACCTTTTCTCAGTCATGAAAATACGAATGTTGCCAGACTGACTGACACTTTTAGCATGTAGTCATTTAGGGAATTTACTCCTTTTTTTTTTTTTTTAAATAGCAACGGAGTGGTGAATCTGTTAAAGTACATCAGTTGGATGTTGCTATTCCTTTACATCTCAAAAGTCAGCTCAAGAAGGGTCCCCCACTTGGAGGTGGGGAAGGAGAGTCAGAGTCTGGAGACACAATGCCATTTGTCATGTTAACACGAAAAGGCAACAAACAGCAGGTAAGAGTTTATGTAAAGTATAGATACTGCTTAAATAAATAAAATCCTTTCACGTTTTTGAAAGTCACACACTTTTGAAGTCACAGAATTTATTTCTTCATCCTTTTCTCAGAATGGGGTACAGACAACTTGATTTTGATAAACAGAAAATACCATAGTTTCTTGGAATTCTTGGTTGTTAATAGAAATAGTGTAGAGAAATTATGTGGTTAGATTATATCACTACTAATTATGTTTGGCGGTTACAGCAATCGCCAGTGGTATGTCTTACGTGTATTTTACACGTAGTTGCAGGAGATGAACGGATGCTGTTAGTGGACTGCCACTGAACGTTGGAAGGAGTAGGGAAAAAAGGAATATTCCAGAAACTTTGAGATTTGGCGGATTTTTTGAAAACACTTTCAGCTTCAAATCGAGATATATGGCATTTGCTAAATTCTGTTTCCTAAGTAACTGCCGCTTGGCTGAATTTGTTCAACTTGCCAAAAAAAGTCACTATCTCTGAAGACAGTTTTGGGGGATTACTCCAGAATGCACCAAGTGAATCTCTCAGAGAAACTTCAGTGGAAATCATGTTGATGAAACAAATAAACCCCTTGCTTCATGCAGCCAAGCTGTGTATTAGTCTTGGCTCTTTTCTCCCGTGTATGTTTGAATTTTCCTAGGTCAGCAAACGCACAGCATACAAATCAGTACCTAACACATTCCATGTGCATTTCTCATCATGGCTTAGGTCTTTAAAAGAAATGTTTTAATTTTGGTTGTATAAATTGAGGATGAAAACGAATGACTGAGTTTAGGTGGGAAGCTAAACCAAGGCATTGTTTCATTCCGCACATCTGTACTTTCAAGTGTTTAGATCCATGTCATTACCTGATTTCGACTCTTTGTTACCTGAGTTGTGACACTCGTCTAACAGTTGGGGTATGTAAAGCTGACAGAGTCTTTCTCTTCCATCATATGAAAGAGGCTTCAAAAATCCTTGTAGCAAGTGAGAAGGTCTCTTCTCTTAAAACACGTGAACTAGGGAGTGTGGGCTGTGCTAAGTGCTTTGAAAGTGTAAGTGG